TATAAAAACTTAGAAATTATAGAGGATATCAGGAAATGGAAAGACCTTCCATGTTCTTGGATAGGCAGGCTTAATATAATGAAAATGGCCATACTGCCAAAATTGATATACACATTCAGTGCAATTCCTATAAAAATGCCAATGATGTTCATTACTGAAATACAGAAAACAGCTCAAAAATTCATATGGAACAACTAAAGACCTAGAATAGCCAAAACAATTCTAGGCAAAAAAGAAACATGGGAGGGATCTCGATGCCAGACTTCCAACTCTACTATAGAGCCATAATAACAAAGACAGCTTGGTACTGGCACAAAAAGAGATTCAAAGACCAATGGATTAGAATAGAAGATCCAGAAATAAAACCACATGCCTACAGTCAGCTGATATTTGACAAAGGAGCCAGAGATGTACAGTGGAAGAAGCACAGCTTCTTCAACTACTGGTGCTGGGAAAACTGGGTGGCCACATGGAGAAAACTAAAAGTGGACCCCAGCCTGTCACCATGCACTAACATCAACTCAAAATGGATTAAAAACCTTAACATCAAACCTCATACTCTGAAACTACTGCAGGACAGAGTAGGAGAGACACTTGAACTTATAGGCACACGCAAGAACTTCCTGAACAGCGTTCCAGGGTCACAATAAATTGGAGAGAAACTCGACAAATGGGACTACCTTAAAATAACAAGTTTCTGCACAACTAAAGACATAGCAACCAAATTAGAAAGACAGCCAACTAACTGGGAAAAATATTTAGCAGCAATGTATCAGACAAGGGGTTAATATCCATTATATACAGGGAACTCAAGAAACTAACCCCTCCCAAACCCAACAAACCAATTACTAAATGGTCAAGGGAACTAAAGAGAGACTTCTCAGAAGAGGAGATAAAAATGGCAAAGAAATACATGGGGAAATGTTCATTTTCCCTGGTTGTAAAGGAAATGCAAATAAAGACAACTCTGACATACCACCTTACCCCAGTCAGAACGGCCCACATCCTAAAGTCAGCCAATGACAAATGCTGGAGGGGATGCGGAGAAAGAGGTGGGAGTGTACACTTATACAACCACTTTGGAAAGCAGTCTGGAGGGTCCTCAGAAAGCTAAATATTGATCTCCCCTATGACCCAGTCATACCACTCCTAGGCATCTATCCTGAACAACAGAAACCACGATACAAGGACACATGCACCTCCATGCACTGTTTACAATAGCTAAGATATGGAAACAACCTGCATTCCCCTCTATAGATGAATGGATCCAAAAACTGGTATGTATATACAATGGAATATTATGCAGCCATTAGAAAGGACAAAATAACGGCATTCCCAGGGAAATGGATGGAACTAGAAGATATGATGTTAAGTGAGGTAAAGTCAGACCAAGTGGATGTTAAGGTGCTAAGTGGATGTTAAGGTGATATAACAAACGTAAGGTGATATGACAAAGTAAACAAGACTTGAGAAACAAAGGACCTCCACTCATCTGGTCAAATCATTACTAAATGACTCCATGCTCCTGACCACATATATAGCATATATGTGCACATCAGAGGGAAACCAGGAGGAGGACACAGAACCAGAGGGAAACAGGACAAAACATAGAGCAGAGGGAACCATCAGCTGCACTGGTCATTGATCAAAATGAACTAAGCAACTCAATGGCAGTGATGGGAGGGAGGGAATGAGCAAGAAAGAGGGAACAGCTGGCACTAAGCAAAAGGAAAGAAATGTAGATATCACCCGATGTGGAAGAAATGACTGTATTGTCAAAGCTCATAGAACTCATAACCTTTATAGAGCACGATAAAGACAATTTCCCCATGAAAGTTAGAATGTGGTTGTGACTTTAACTAAGTATCACTATCCCACAATACTGTGAAATTTTTGAAATTTATGTAATCACTCAATCACAATAAAAAATTACAAAAAATGAATTGGTTACAAAAAAATCAAAGAAAGAAAAAAACCCCAAGGTTTGAAGACTTAACTCATCAATAGAATGCTTGAGGTTGATCCCTAGAACCAGCAAAATATTTGTTTAACTTACCATTAAATTTAGACATCCAACACTCTCAAGCATGAGTCATCAAATTATATAGCACTGAGAAAAAAGATAATTATACAATAAAAACAAGAGATCAAACAACTTGAGGAGAAAATGAAGGAGACAAGACTTCAGTATGAGCTCTGAAATTACTATCTGAGTGCCAAATGATGCACATATGCATAAATAATAATAATAATATAACATTGGAGAATCATAATTGAAATTACTCAGTATACACTCACACAAATAAACACCGAAATATGTCAGTTAAGATACATGGAAATACAAGCCTGAACACGTTTAATTCAATATTTAAAAGTTCAAAAAAGGAAAAATAAAGATTGAATAGTCAAAACAATAATGATTGAGAAAATTTGAGAACCCTTAGATTTAGAAAATATAGAAATATCAAAAAATTAAAAAAGAAATATCACAGGAAGAATATTTTTAAAAAAGAAAATGAAATGTAAGCATTTCTTACACTTAGTAAGAAAACTAAATGTAAACCTTCAAGCAGTAGTGGCGTAGCTAAGCCTAAGTTGTGTTTCTATCATCCCTCAAAATGATATCCTAATTTATATGATGAAGGGTAAGCCAGGTGTCTATATTCTAGTCAGTTATAAAGAAAAGAAGAAAGAAGAGGAACACACCATGTTCTAAATGAGATGATCTGGAATTCTGATAATTTATATTTTTCCTCATCCCTCTGTAGCTAACCATAGTAAATCTGGAGATAGCAATCTTTTACTAGGTAACCACATGCCCACTAAACCAAAAAAAATCCACTGAAATAAATTGTGTTGTCCAATTAAACAACCACTAATCAAATAAAATTACATAAAAATTTAAAAATCAGTTCCTTATTCCTACTAAACTCATCACAGGTGTTCAATGGTTACCTAATGCTACGGTAGAAAACTAAGCTTAAGAACATTTTTTCTAGCTCAATGCACACTATTTTTTATAGTCTAAAGACATGCTACAAGACAGACAGTGGCTAGACTCAAGATGGTTGGGTTTTCTGTTATCCATTTCTCTCTTTTTCCACTTCAATGTTCCTGTGAACTCTTATTTCCACACTTACAAAACAAATCACTTCAGTAATATAATCTTAAAGTCCTATCCAGGTGTGTTCATCTTGCTCTTGTCTAAGATTCCTCCAGGAAGTTCACAGGTGACTATTCATTGTAGCATCCTGCAGAATAAAAGATATTTATCACAAGATACCAACTCTGATACACACAGTGCTAGAGAAACTTAAAAATGTCTACTCAATAAAAAGTAGAGAAAGAATCTCAAATAGCTATCTCCCCCTGGGCAGGGATGGCCAGATGCTCAAACTAGACTAAGTTTGTTTAGCCTTAGTCATGGCTGTACTATCTGAGAGCAACTTGAACACTGCCTTTGGTGATAACCATGGATCTTTAGGAATGTCCTCTTTGGAGCTGTATCTAGAGGAAATCTATTGACATATTTATTGATAAATCAATAGAAATATAAGCATTTCCTAGATGATGAACATAAACTTTATAACTCACAATCACAACATTTTACACTTTTTTTGAGGTCAAGACAAGATTCTTAATTCACTGACACTGAATTGGTTCTTACTTTTCTGGCCCTACTTCATGGGGAAATGACTTAGTTGAATTTCCTATGAAATTGCCTTTTCAAAGTTGGGGCATAAAAATAAATCGATTTCTCTATCAACTATCACTGAAGCCATAGTGTGCTAAGACTTTCTAGTTATCACTAAAATACTCAAATACTTCCTCTGAACTAATAAATGTAAAAAGGAAATTGGAGATGCAAAGATAAGAGAACATATGGGAAAGAGAAAGGCAACAGTTGAAGACATTTTCTGCAATATGATGTGCAGAGAAATTGTATGTGTCCTGTGATATTTCTGCCAGATTTGATTGAACATGCTCAAGCAACTTCAATATTATCAAAGTGAAAGGCACACTTACAAGTAGACTTGGTGATTTGTAGAAGAGAGAGTTTCACTGTCTAATCTATTCATCATTCACTTGTCTGTGAAAAAAGTTTCAGCTCTCTCTCTTAAAACAAAACGACTGACAACACTTTGTGAGAATAACGCAGATTAGGTTCTAGGCCTTGGCTGACTGCTACTTTCACTGTGTCAGTGTACATTTTCCCATTTCTTAGTTGTAAGGTGGCAGGTATATTTTGGTCTTGCTCTATGGAATGAAGCTGGTGATTCAGCTTATGTAACATGCTTGAATGTAGGAACTCTCAAATTACCATTGAGCAGATTTTTCTATTTTAAGGTCTAGAGAATGATTTCCATTAAACCAATGGAGAAAAACCTAAATAAAGAGGTGAACAGAGGTAAGCCGTGCAAGCCTGTGCATTGAACAGAGTGGTGGTACGTCATATCTCATTTCCCTAACTGTAAAGGAGGCAGCCACTGCAGGACATGGAGATTACGGAACCAGAACCAGTTATTTAAAACAATCTGAAGGCAATTTTGTAGAATCTTCTACCTCAAAAACCTGCTCTACCTATATGTCCAGAGGGCAGAGTAACAAGAAGAAAAGATTCTCCCACTACCATTTCGATTTTCACCACAATTACAAAAACACAAAATTTTAATGCCACCAAACTATACTCTTCAAAAAGTGGTTAAAATGAAAACTAACATATTCTATACTAAAATTAAGAGGAGGAGTGTGTTGGGAGGGGTGGATAGGAATGTTGAAATGGGTGGCACTGATCAGGATGCACCATATTAATTGCTTCAGTGAATGGCAACTCCTTTGTACAATTATGTAAAGATAATGAAAATATTCCCCCCCAAAAGAAGTCACAATTGAGTACATATATATATGTATATATATTTATATAGTTTATAAAAATAAGTATTAAATATAAATCTGGATGAAGGGTTTAGCCACTCAGAGTGCTCTGCACTGTATGTCCCTCAAGATACTTCTTTGAAGTACAGTTCTGTGCCAAAATCAGGGCGATAAATATCCCAAGTCTTTTCTTTGTGCGGATTATCCAAACGGTCTCGTGAGAGATACAGTCTAAGGGTAGGGAGGAAAAAAATAAATTATATTTAATTTTAGGGCTAACAGACAAGTCATGCAATACAACACCCTTGTTTTAGAAAGAGACTTGTTAGCTGCAACCAGAACCTACGTCCCATTTGTTTTCCTTACTTGGCTCATTCCATCACTTTGTGTTTGTGTAAACAGTGGGCAAAAAAACTTCCCACTGTAGTTTATACACAGACATGGAAGATGAAGCTCTTTCTGTTGGATTACATTATATCCTTACCGATTCTTCTTTATTAAAGCAGTATTGAACCAGAAGAAGAAGGCGCAGTCATCATAGTAGTTGGGTATGATCTAAAAACATATGGTTAAAGGTTATTTTCATAGTAAAATAGATACCAAAAACTAGTGATTCCAAAGAGATTAAAATTCCTCCCTTATTCCTTTGTGTATGCCATCAGTTGCAGCCTTCTATAGCAAAGTACTCAGAGGCTTAGGAGAGCACTGTTTCAATTAAAATGTAAAGGGCCAAAATTAGTTCAGGGAAATAGAAGAAAGAGGATTTCATAAAATGTCACTAGGAACAGAGTAACAAAAATAAGATACACAATGGAGGGACATATATACAAATCATGTGTCTGATGAGGGTGTTGTATTCAGAAGAACTCTTCAATTCAAAGACAAAAGGCAGATAAAAACAGATCAACTCCAAGGCCTTAAACACACATTTCTCCAGAGTCTGTATCCAAAAGGCCTACAAGCACACACAAAGACTGAGACCACATGCCACACTACTAGGATCACCAAAAAAAAAAAAAAATCGAAGGCCCTCAGGCTTTGCTGACACAAATGTAAAACGGTGAAGCCACATGGTGACTACTCAGTAAATTAAACATAGAATTACCAAAGCCACTTGAGGAATAGTTTTTTCCATAATAGATATATACTGATTTTTTAAATCTTAATTCTATTAAAATTTTTTTGTCAGTTGTGGGCCTTGAACTCAGGACCTGGGTGCTATCCCTGAGCCCTTCAAGTCAAGGCCAGTGCTCTATCACTTGAGCCACAGCACCATTTCTGGTTTTCTGGTGGTTAACTGGAGATAAGTGTCTCACAGACTTTGCTGCCTGGGCTGTCTTTGAACTGCAATCCTCAGAGATCAGCCTCCTGGATAGTTAGGATTCCTGGCATGGCCCAGCTTGATCTTATTTCTATAATGCTAAATAATCAACTAAAGACCTATGACTTTTGCACCCAATCACACTGTGGTGAATTCTAACTCATTGCTGTTGCCTGTGCTTCCATTTTGAGTGTACATTAGACTGGAAACTGTCAAGGGTGGCTGTGCCCTGCTCCAACTTGTAGCCCAGGCTATCCTCAAACTCAAGATCCTCCTGCCTTCACCTCCCTCCCGAGGACTAGTATTATACATGCCACTGTTCCTGGTGCTAGTCTTACTTTATAATAAAGCCTACTCAATAGACAGACACTCTTGAAAATGAACTATACCACTTATAGGTGGAGACAGTGAAGGAAGGGCACCTATAAGTGGTATAGTTCATTTTCAAGAGTGTCTGTCTATTGAGTAGGCTTTATTATAAAGTAAGACTAGCACCAGGAACAGTGGCATGTATAATAATAGTCCTCGGGAGGGAGGTGAAGGCAGGAGGATCTTGAGTTTGAGGATAGCCTGGGCTACAAGTTGGAGCAAGGCACAGCCACCCTTGACAGTTTCCAGTCTCTGTCCCCTCCCAGTTCCTCAGTGGGCCTGATCTGGATATTTGTCCCATGCATCCCTCCTCTTATGTGACAGAAGATACAATCCCTTTGCTTCACTCAACCCATTCTCCAGGGGACCTGTGCAGGTATGTGTAGTGAATATTCTGGAATACTGACATAGTGTATTACCAAATACTGACATAGTGTATTATTGAATATAGGAAGGTATTGAGTATATATGTGCTGTGAAATAGTATGGAATATTAAGATGTAAAATTAGGAATTACAAGTTATGAGATACAACTATGGAAGATAGAGATAAGGACACACATATGGAGCCTACAGAGACATCACCAAAGCAACCAGCCCACCACAAGGAACAGACTTGGCCAGAAGTAGGGCAACCTTACCCTCAATGATAACCAGTCGTGGCCAGAAATGAAGCTGTCAGCAAGGCAACCCTGCCTGCTATAATAATCAGACATAGGCAGAAGTGACAAAGCCCACCTAAAACATATAAAAACCCAGGGCAGCGCAGACCCCGTGAGATGGCCTCTCCAAGCAAGGCGACTCCCATCAGACAGGCCCTCCAGTGCAGCACCTGGCAAAGCGGCCGCTACTCCAGAGGACACCTCGATGGACTCCCCTCAACCTAGGATCACATCAAGTAGTGTGCCATGTGAGCACCCATGGGTGTGGGACACGCTTGGTAGAATTAGGTGTAAGAGTTAGATATTGGTGTGGATTGTATTTGAAGTGTTAGAATAAATGGAGCGAAACTTCTTGATCTAAGCATGATGCTATTCACCTGCTCAGCACAGTATGTCTCTGTGACCACTTGGGTTACAGCATGACTCTTGAGACCACAATGGAACTCCCCATGGGAAACCTTCAGGTAACACTCTGGGCCCAGTTCAAAGGCTACTTGCTCCTCAGGTCTCCCTGTGTCGGTGGCTCCCTACCACTGGTTGGGCATCAGCTTCTCCTCTTTCCACTAACCCAGACTGCTGCTGCCCTTGCCTCTCCTATTGCTGACCTGCTTCTCCTATTCTCTGTGTTCGTTGTGCTGCCTGCTTGGTGCCTTATCTGAGCAGCGTGCACAAGCCTGTGTCTGTTCTCAGGGCTTTTCTGCCCTATCTACTTGGATAGGAAGAAACTAAAAACAGAGCCTCAGGGCATCTGCCAGTAAAACAGGTTTCCTCTGAGAAGGACACCTGTCACCAGTGGCACTGAGACATTAGGCTACCCACCAGGGTAAACAATCATCCTGTGAAAGACACACTGTACGGCATCCACAGCCACCTCACCTGGAGCCCCATGAGAGCAAAGCTAGAATTTATAGTTGCTCTCAAGAGATGGTCCTTGAGACCAAGCTAGAAGAAATATATATCTATTGTTACCATCAACAGCTACTTTTCAAGATTAACATCCCTATTGGTGATGATTAGAGCTACTCAGGAGGCTAAGATCTAGAGGATCTTAGAAAAGTCAGGTTCCATTTCCAAAATGACCAGCAAGAATCGGGACTGGAGGCATGGCTCAGGTGGTAGAAATCCAGCCAAGCAAGGAAACAAAGCATGAAGCCCTGAGTTCAAACCCTGGTACTACAAAAAAAGGCCCACAAATACACGCACACAAAACTGGTGAGCTAAGAAATTTCTAATTTTTTAAAATGTGCCTTCACATTTTGACCCTTGATAATCATCACTGAAATTTCTATTGCCAAGGTTCCCTGAGCCAGTGAAGAAACCACAATTTCTGTTTATAGACCACTAGTTGAGCAAGGATTCAGAGTTGTTCCATCATCTGAGGGATAACCTTCCAATACAATGACTACCCAGGTCATTTGATTCCACACATTCACCATCGCAATAGCTAATAGATACACCTTCAGCAGTGAGTAAGCAGGTGATGAAGGAAGGCACAGAGAATGAAATTTAACTTCCTTGTTGATAGTGGAGATGGATGATTTAACAGAAAAATACAGCTACTGAGCTGCTGAAATTCATTATAAACAAAACCACTCAGACATAACAGTGTACAACTAATTAACAGAAATTATACACTCATGACTCTTATAGTAATGATGCTAAGTTAATGATAAAATCTCCCTCAGTTATTGATAGTGTAAAAGCATTGATGGCAATATGTTTAAAAGATACAAAACTGTCAATACTACCTTCTTTTTAGCATCCTGGTTTTCTTATTTGAAAACTAACAGATAGCAAATTGCATCGAATTTAGATAAAAGTAGGTGGGTGCTGGTGGCTCACACGTGTAATCCTACTTAGGAGGCTGAGATCTGAGGATCTGCAGTTCACAGCCAACCAGGGTAGGAAAATCCGTGAGACTCTTATGTGCACTACAATACTCAGCAAAAGCCAGAAGTGGTGCTGTGGCTCAAGTGGTAGAGTGCTAGCCTTGAGCAAAAGCAGCTCAAGGACAGTGCTCCAGGCCCTGAGATCAAGCCCAAGAACTGGTTAAAAAAAAATTTAGAAAAAAAAACACACTTTAAATATCTTTTTAAAAATCCTGATAGTTTTGAATTGTGCTTTTCTCCTCTTCTCTGGACATGGATTGCTCTCTATCCTTTCTCTTGCTGAGAACTGCAGCAAAGGACATCCCCAAACAAAAATATTCACAAATCCAGGTTATACAGGGATTTTTCATACTCACCGGTGATGAAAACTTCACTTTTATGTCAGCAAGCAAGTTCGGACAGTCTAATATAACAATTATTGCTCTATTGGCCTCTACATCATGTTGTAACTATGAATAAACACACAGAATTAGGAACTATAAATGTAGTTGGTTGTAAGTATTCATTTTCACCAATCCAAACATGCAAAGTTCATTATATATTCTCAGTTTCATAGCCTCGTTATTTCATACAGAAATTAACAGTAATCTTTTTTTCTTTACATTAACTCTACATGTTTGAGGGTTCTAATAGGGAACTGTTGAGAAGCAATGTATTCCTGTGTTTCTGGAATTTAACCAAATAAACATTACAGTTCAATGAGAATCATCTGAATTTCATATTGTTTTAAAATAATGGACTATAAAGCTTAATTTTAAAGCTCACGTTGATATTCGAAAAGCAATGCTTACCTAATCATGTTCTTATAGAAAAAAATCTTCTTGACTCAGACATATACTAGATAGTCTGAGTCAAGCAGAAAAGGTCAGATAAGGTGATGTTAGGGAAATGAGCCCTAAGATATGTATTCAAATGATTTTTTTTCTTTCATGCGATTGTTTCTAACACATTTATAAGATTATTGCTTTGTTGCTTTGTATGTCCCTCCCCCACAGTATAACTCCTGCTTTCACTGTATTTGATGTAGGTATAATTTGTGGAGGGAAATGGGAAAAACAAATCGTTTAAATAGGGATACAGGTGGACCCATTGCAACAATGAGATGTACACGTTGTTATGTCGAAAAATGAACTTTACAACTTTCGTGGGGGGCGGGGGGGAAGGGCCCCGTGGGGAGGGGAGGGTGGGGGTGGCGGGGGGGGGGGGGCGGATGGGAAGGGATGGGTAGGGGAAACAAAGGAGGAGGCTACAATGCTTGGTAAGAAATGTACTCATTATCTTGCCCATGTAATTGTAACTCCTCTGTACAGTATTTTCACAATAAAAAAATAAAAAATAAAAACAAAACCTTACTTTGCTAGTGGGATCAATGCTAGATTCCAGTGAATGGAGTGACCAAAGATAGGTCATGTTTTGGGAATTAGCAATTTTGAAATCAGTCTAAGTATTTCTTTGGCATTGATTCACCGTCATACTATACAGGGGCTATGATAGGCCCTGTGGGACAAAAAACAAACCAACCAAAACCAAAACCCTCACATTTTTTCAAACCCTTCAGTAGTTTTTATACATAAAGAACAATAGTACAATAATATGCAGAAAAGTTGCACAAAGAAATTTGTGTGCAATTATATAGTGTGTGTGTGGAGTGGGAGTTTATAGTATATAGGTTGAATAGGAAAACTTCCCCAAGGAAGTAAAACTTGAGTTGGTCATTGGATAAATGAGGAGTAGTACAGGCACAAGTTACCTGCAGAAACATGAATTAGACTTGTATTAGACTTGTATTTCTAGAGCCAGAGGGGTGACCCGTCCTCCTTTACTGGGAGTCTATAGGTCAAGTTATTGATGGGAATAGCTCGGCTTTGCTAGCGCTGTTGTGTCTTGAGAGCTTAAGAGCCAGGAAAACAAGAGTGAAAAGTTGTTAGGAATTGCTGGGGACATGTCCTATGTAACAACATGGCTGGATAATTATCACCTGTAACATTGACTTAGTAACTTATGGTTTATAAAGTTACTTCAAATGCATTACGTAAATCTTACGACACTTAAGATGTGGCCTGTTTTATAGTAAGAATTTGAGCCAAAGGCAGTCGCTTGTCTTTGTCCATGGTACACTGTGTCTTCTGCTCACAATGAGAACGATATTTAAGGATGCATTCTGCACACATCCACATGCTAACTTTTATAGGGAGAAAGACAAAGAACGTGGACTACTGTATAAATCTAGAAATGAGCAAATGAAGCCCTGGACTAGGTTGCGGGAACATGAAAAAGTGAAAGAAATTTCAAAGCATCCTCCATAGGAGCTGGTGATCAATGTGATTAAGAGACTAAAGCAAAAAAAAAAAAAAAAAAAAAGAATTCCAAATTGTAAAGCCTCTGTTGGAGAATACTGGTTGCATTTAAGAAGCATAGGAAAAACTTGTTTGATAAATCAGGATTGCTGAAATGTGTGTAGACAGAAGGGGCTCCTTAATATCTGTTGAGTGACTGAAAGAACCCATGCTACTTTATGGAAGGGCCGTGGTGAACGTGACCAAAAATAGAGTCTTCTCATAGACAAGAACAGAAAGCCAAGGACGGGGTCTGGGTGAATGCTCTCAGCAACGTGAAGCCAAACAAAAATGAATAAACGTTTTGAAAAGTGTTTATCGGGCTGGGAGCCAGTGGCCCATGACTGTAATCCCAGTTACTCAGGAAGCTTTGATCTAAAGATCATGATTCAAAGCCAACCCAGGCAGGAAAGTCCATGAGACTCTCTGATTAAGAAGCTGTGGCTCAAGTGGTAGAGTGTGAGCCTTAGCACAAAAGCTCAGAGACTCTCAAGTTCAGAGGCTCTGAGTTCAAGCTCCAGGACCAGCATACACACAGGTGTGTGTGTGTGTGTGTGTGTGTGTGTGTGTGTGTGTGTGTGTGTGTGTGTGTGTGTGTGTAGGAGAGAGAGACAGAGACAGAGACAGAAACAGAGAGAGAGAGAGAGAGAGAGTGTGTGTGTGTGTTTGTGTAACTAAGAGTGTGTGTGTGTGTGTGTGTGTGTGTGTAACTTCTAAGAAGAACCTGAGAAGGAAATTTAACTTTACTTTTGATCACAAAGGCAAGTTGCCTATTTTTTTTTCCAGAAAAGGTCTACAGTCTTGAGCATTTCTTCAGCATTACAGTTCAATATCTTCTCCTCTTACAGCTGCGTGTAAAGAGGTTTCTCCTCAGTCGACACACTCTTCCCCACAGAACATTGGAGTTAGTGTCACTGAGGGCATTGTGGAGTGGACAGTTTCTGCACCCATTCCACATTTCCTGACTCCAACTTCACAAGTGTCAGGGTGATTGTCAAGAACACTAAATTGCAGGATCAGAGCTATACGATAAATGACCCCAAAAAATGACCAAAAGGAAGATAATATAGCTAATACTGACATGGGAATTTGAAACCTCCATTGATTCCTGGGGACATTCTTAGCATGTGTGGGTAAGTGAAGACAAAGGAACAATGAACTGTAGCCTATTTTGGGAAATGTTTTGCAAGGACTGTTTGGAACAAGGCTTTGATTTGCATCAGAACTAAGCAGCACCAAGCTGGCCACCAGAGGGCAGCATGAGTCTGTGTGGTGAGTGATGGTTGGGGAGGACAACAAGCCGGCTGGAAACAAACACCAGAATTCTCACTTCAAATGCTTTTGCTTACCACGCAGTTTTCGGGTGTGCTACTAAATATGGTCTCTCGACGCATTATGATGTCTATTTTTAGATCAGTTCCATCTCCTTGTCCGACTCCTTAATAAAAGTAAAATGACACATTCGTTAGAGCACAGAGCAAAATGTCTTGCCAGTTATCATGAGAGACTGATACTGTAATCCTAGAAACTCAGGAGGCTCAGATCTGAGGATCGCAGTTCAAATACAGTGAGGCAGAAAAGTCTGTGAGACACTGATCTTCAATAAACCACAAGAAAACCAGATGTGGAGCTGTGTCTCAAGTGGTAAAGCACTAGCCATGAGCTGAAGAACTGAGGGATAGTGTACAGGCCCAGACTTCAAGCTCCATGGCCAACAACAACAAAATAAAAGCTTTTTTTTCACTGAAGACAAAAACAGCAACATCTAGACAGAAGTATTGGCAGTGTTACAATTAAAATACTACATTTCCTTCATGCTCAATTCAAAATGAGACATAAAGCAAGCTATACTAAGCAATTCCAAGGCTCATTAGTAGGTTTATAATATACTATTAAAATATTAGGAAGAATGTTTCTACTAAATATATGCATCCCTCTGGTACAACCAGAACCATATACATTAATAGCTCTAATAAAGTATAAATCTGAGCACACATCTCTCCCTGCAGGCTTCTTCCTCCTACCCTCTGCTGCCAGCCTCTAAGTTAAGTCCTGACTTCATTGCCCAGAGGTGGCAAAATCCATCCAAGATGGATCTGCTAATTGTAACAAATATTTACAAGTTAGCTAATTCACTACTTCTACTTTTTACCATACACTGTCACCTCAGGACATCTATAAAGATTAGATGTTCTGAAATAGGGAACTTGGTGTATGATATCAGTACTTTACTAAAAATGTGCATCTTCTAGATGTGGTGATGCTAGCAGAGCCCTTCCCAACCTTCCTTTTCTCCTTCTCCATCACTCTAGACACTAACTCTGAGATAAGCACAACTTCACTCCCAGAAGACAGTTTTCCCTAAACACTACCAAAAGGACATTTATATAGGGATTATTCTCTGCTTCTTACTTTTGGCATTAAGACTTAACCCTTAATACCTAGTAATATGAACTAAAATACAAACGTGGAGCCAAGTCTAGACAACCTGAACCAACAGAAGAGGCCCAAGATAGCCTGCTCTCTGCACATGTCCTCCCCCAACCCCACCCCTGCTGCCACCCACTGAACAGCACAGTCTCTAAGACATTACAATTCACTCCCAAATTCAACTACGAAAATACTTCAAGGGAAATATGCTAGCCCTCTACTTTTACAAGATTAAACATGTTGAGATGTCGAGAAAAACTAGATGCTGCTAATAGTTTTGAGTTTCCCACCAAACAAATATACAAGTAATGACACACAAAGCACACACACTAACAAAAGCTCTCATTTGAAAATTCTAGCCTAGAACCCTTCCCATCTCCAGCATCCCAATGTCAGGGTTATTTACACAAATGTAATATTTCAAGGGGACTTTCAGTCATTCAACTTCAATGTTTAAAATCTAACTTTTGACACAAATGTACTCGATGTGTTAGTTTACTAATTCTACTTTTGTCACTGGTAACCTCTTTAATATCTAGTAATACTAGAAACTGTAAATTAGGACCCATCTGTCTTTTACAAAACTATATGCAGAACAAAATTAAAATGCACAGACACCAGAGACAATGAGCAATCTTGCTTCACCATAAACCCATGGGTAGAAAGCCCTCAGCACTTTCCTTCCTCCCTCCCTGAACCAGAACACACACCTTGCATACTGCTCAGAAACCATTTCATCATTCCATTTCCAAAAGACAAAATGTCATTTATGAATTTTAGCAAAACAATAGCTACAAAATGATTTACTGCCTCTACTTTTATCATGCTTTCTGTACTTCTAAACACCTAGAGAGAGCAGATGTCTCAAAAAGGACTTAATTGTCCATTGTATACATAGCAGTATTGAATAAACTACAGGCATGTAACCATGGTTCTATCTGAAAGTGTCTTCCAGGTGGGAGCATTCTATTCTAACCTAGAACCTTTTATTTCTTCCAATTCCTCTCCAGTATTACACTTGATACAGGTACAAAGTCACTTACAGATATTACAATTTTGCTTCTCATCTTTTTCAGAGATAGCCTTTCTATTAATTTTAGCACAATAAATAAAACACATGCTAGTTTACTCACTACACTGGCAACATCTTTAATAGCTAGGGACTAGATAGTATAAAATTAGGACTCATTTGTCCAGTCTATACACAATATATGCTAAACACAAGAGTCAAACAAAATGTATGTAACATACAGGGTAAGGGATGATGAGCTGAAATTTTTTTCACACACACTGAGAAAGTTTTTCCTTTCTACCACTTTCCTCAACCCAGTAACAAATACAGACAGTACATTGTTCACAGAGGTGGTTTAAAAACTTCAGTTCGGAACACAGTTTTTCCCAAAGTTTGCAAAGCTCCTACAGGTATTCTAATTCTTTTTTAAATACACCAAGCACTTCCAAATACCTAAGGCTGGCTATTTCAAATGCAAACTTGCTTGCTGTACCCACAGCACTGGTGAGTACAATTGTACATGCAGCAGTGGTTATAACCCCACGTATCTTCTAAATAGGGCCGTTTTGGCCCCGAGCCATTCCCTTCTTAATTCCTTCTTTCTGCCTTCAATCCAGGGGACAAATACAGGCATATGTAGTGCTTACAGATAGTTAAACAAATGCATATCTAATTGTCATTTATAGAAAAAAGTTTCCTATGACATTTCAACACAAAGCACACAAAATGTGCTGATTTTACTACTTTGTCATACACTGGTAACCTCTTTAACATGTAGAGACTAGATGTTGCAAAAGTTGGGACTTATTGTATAGACACTATATACACAGCAAAACAAGATGCACCATACAGTAAAATGGTATCTGAGGATGTCCAGGTATGAATACATTAGCACATTACTTTTTGCAATTGCTCACTTCCACTTCTCCTCCAAACCAATGAATGAGTATAGGCAGTACCTGCCATTCTGCTCACAGAGGTGATTCCCCACTTCCATTTTGTAAAGACAGTGTTTCATGTGAATGTTAGCAAAAATATCTCTTAAAGGTGGTATTTTACTGTCTCTACATTGAACATATGTTGGGCACTTCTAAACATCTAGAGAGACTAGATGTTTTCAAGTAAGGGCTCACTTCATCCCTTATGTACATAGCAGTCTTCACTGACTGAACACATGTAACTAACTGTAATCTGAAAAGTGTCTTCAAAATATGAGCATTCTAGGACATTTGTCCACCTACCCAGTGGGCTAGAATGCTGAGATTTTCAGAAGACCTTTTCTAGGGATTTTAACACAAAAACTACAAAGTCTACTAATTCTATTTTTGTCATATGCTAGGAACCTCTTGAACTTCTAGAAAGACTAGAAGTAAGTTAGGCCCAGAACTATAAATCAATGTGCTGTTTCTTTTTCTTGGTGGTGTTGTGGGTTCTTTTTAATTCCATTTCTGGGGCTTGAACATAGGGCCTGAGCACTGATCCTGAGCTGTTATTGCTCAAGGTTAGTGCTCTACCACTTTAGCCACTTTCGGCCTTTTTCTGTGTATGTAGTACTGAGGAATGGAATGTAGGACTTCATGCATGCTAGACAAGCACTCTACCACTAAGCCTCATTCCCAGAAAAAACAAATTCTTCTTGCATGACAGGAATGTTGGCTTAAGCCCTTGACTTTCCTCACATCTCAACCACTTTAAGTCACATAAATGTATTTCATCATTTACAAAGAAGGAAAAATGAGGTGAACATTTATTGTGTCACCCTTTTCCTTCTACCCATGTAGATCCTCAGCCCCCAAAGAAATAACCTCTCTCACTAGTTTTCTAGGCCAGACTGGCAAAAAATGGGACTCTATCCCAAAAACAACTAGAGCAGCTAGGTATTGGTGGCTTATGCCTCTAGTACTAGCTGGTTGGGAGGTTGAGATTGAGAGGATCACAGTTGGAGCTAGCCCAGAGGGAGAACTGTGGATATGGTCTTGGGTGCCTATCATCCCAGCAAGGATGAGAAGCCAAACACAGGCAGTCTTATTTCTTGGGAAGTAGGCAGCATCTTGGTAGTAGCTAAGGGATCTGATAAAACACCAGTTTCTCCCACATGGAGGTTCAGGTGTATATGGGGAGTATGGGGGTCTAAGCTGCCCTTTAGGAAGCTTCTCTGTAGTTCCTACTTCTGTGTTCCCAAATGGTGTTCAGCTTTTTCTTTCCTGGCACCAGAGTTTGAACTCAGAGCCTTGAGCTTGCTTAGCTGGCTTCACTGGCACTCATCACTTGAGTCATCCCTCCAACCCTATGGTCTCTGGTTATGTTGCACACGGAGACTCAGATTTTTCTGCCTGGGCTGGCTTCAAACTGATTCTCCAGAGCTCAGCCTCCTGACTAGCTAGGATTTTAGATGTGAGCCTTGCCAACACCCAGCTTGGAGTTGGCTTTTTAAAAACCTATGCACTGATTTCTCTTTTCTGCTGACCACCCATGCTGAATGCTAGCGTAAGGCCTATCCTGGTCAGGGGACTCAGTGGTGTGGCAACAAATGAAGCCTTTGCTGATCAGGTATTTCAGGCAGGTGCTGGGGTTGTGATGCTTAGAGGAGGAGGGAAGAGGGAAAAGAAAGATTGGTGGGATGAGAAAAAAGGACTAGACAGAAAGTGATAGAGGGACACTGCTGCTGAGGAGCCATGAAGGTGGGTCTGGGAAAGAAGCAGTGTCAAGGTTCATGGGTCTCCTCACCTCTAAAGCTCCAACCCTGAAAGGCCTACCCTGAGCTGAGACAGAGAGCCATGAGAACAGAAGGCAAGGGCATGGAGCCTTCCCCTCAAGTGGAAATGGGCAAAGGAAGAAGAGACACCTAAGAGTAGCTGACATGGCTATGCATTGCCTGCCCAGTGGAAAGCTCCAGAGCGGAGTTTGTGTGTAGGGAAACTTAGATGGCTAGGAGTTATGATCATCTATGTACATAACTGTGAGCAAAACCCTCTCAAAGAACACTTGTCCAAATGGGATTGCATAAAGTTGCAGAGCTTCTGCAGGGCAAATGACAGAGCTAGCAAGATCAATAGAAAGCCCACGGATTGGGAGAAGATCTTTACTAGCCATACAACGGACAAGGGTCTCATATCTAAAATATACTTGGAACTCAAAAAATTAAACCCCCCAACAACAAATCCTCAAAGAAACAACTGCCCAATAAATAAGTGGGCGAAAGACTTACAGAGAAACTTCTCTGAAGAAGAAAGAAGGATGGCCAATAGACACATGAAGAAATGTTCAACATCCCTAGCCATAAAAGAAATGCAAATCAAAACAACATTGAGATATCACCTCACCCCACTTAGAACGGCAAAAATCAAGAACTCTAACAACAACAGATGCTGGAGGGGATGTGGACAGAAAGGAACCTTACTTCATTGTTGGTGGGAATGTAAACTTGTTCAACCACTTTGGAAAGCAGTATGGAGGTTCCTCAAAAGACTTCACATAGAACTCCCCTATGACCCAGCAATCCCACTTTTGGGCATTTACCCAAATGTTTACAAACAAGACCACACTAAAGCTACCAGCACAACAATGTTTATTGCAGCATTATTTACCATAGCTAAGATATGGAACCAACCCAGATGCCCCTCAGTAGATGAATGGATCAAGAAAATGTGGTATATATACACAATGGAATTCTATGCCTCCATCAGAAAGAATGACATTGTCCCATTTGTTAGGAAAGGGAAAAACTTGGAAAAAATTATATTAAGTGAAGTAAGCCAGGCCCAAAGAAACATAGGTCCCATGGTTTCCCTTATTTGCAATATCTAGTATATGTATGAGTTAAGCGGAAAAGGTCAGATAATGTGATGTCAGGAAAATGAACCCTTAGATATGTATTTTAATGTTTTTTTCTTTCATGCATGTGTTTCTAACGCATTTATAAGATTATCTCTTTGTTGCTTTGTATGTCCCTCCCCCACAGTATAACCCCTGCTTTCACTATATTTGATGTCAGTATAACTTGTGGAGGAGATGGGGAAAAACCAGTTGTTTAAGGATACAGGTGGACCTGTTGCAACAATGAGAAGTACAAGTTGTCATGTCCAAAACGAGCTTTACAACGTCGGTGCAGGGGGGGGGGGGCGGGGAGGGGGGGGGAAGGAGAAGGATTGGGATTGGGGGGGAGGGGGGAGGCTGGGAAGGGATGTGAAGGGTAAACCAAAGGAGGAGGCTGCAATGCTTGGTAAGAAATGTACGCATTATCCTGCCCATGTAATTGTAACCCCTCTGTACAGTATGTTCACAAATAAAATAAAATAAAATTAAAAAAAAAAAAGAACATTTGTCCAAAGGTCCCATCCCTAAAGTCTAAAGCACTTACCATGAATTGAGTAGATTATAATCTTGGTAATTTTCACTGTTCTCTGAGGAGGTAAACTCCAATTAAATATTTTTTTAACGATCTCAAAGTACTCAACGTACCGACTCTGGAAAGCAACAGAAGCCTCGATTTTAGTAGGTCTAAAGTTTAAAGTCAGCATACAAATCTTTTTAAACTTGATATTAGTAGCAAAAAAATTAAGCAAACAATGTTCCATTACATAATTAACATTCTTATGCATTTGCCTCATGACTAGTTATCTACCATGGGAAAAAGCACTGACCTCAGACCTGCCGGGAGGAACATGGAAGGAGCAAGCCCTTGCCTATGGCTTGCTAAAACTGCTATGGCAGAAGCTGCTGTAATGGGTTAGAGGAAGGACTGTGGTTTGGTGGATGGTTCTTCATCAGGGCAGAAAGAGACCTACTAGCAGCAGTAGACAATTATGTCATTTTTGACATAAGAAACTCTAAGAGCTAGAGTTTCTTCATCTGCTCTTTTCCCAAATTTGTCTTTGTTAAGGAAACCCTGGAATTCTCTAAGCCTCACATTCCTCCTCTACAGAAAGTTGCTCACAAGGTCTTTCCTGGAACCTCTTTTTGAGGAACTGAAGAGTTCTGGCGCTGAGCCAAGTGGGAAGGGCTGATAACATTAGTGATCACATCTCCAATTAGCACAAGCAGTGTGATGGGTGCCTGTGGCCCATGCCTGAAATCCTAGCTACTCAGGAGGCTGAGGCTGAGCAATTCAGGACTGAAAAGTCTGGGAGAATCCATCTCCAATTAATTAACAAAAAATTGGGCTAGAGGTGTGGCTCAACTGGTAGAGTGCCAGTTATGAGCAGGGAAAGCCTACTGAGCACAAGGTCATTGAGTTCAAGCCCCAGTACTGGCACAAAAGGAAAGGGCAGTGGTGAGAAAGGCCTGAAAGTTCTTAAGTCTCAGGTGTCAAGGGGAATGGCCACAAGGAAGGGCAGAATGTGGCAGTGTGTAAGAAGGACCTCCCAGCGGAGCGGACTCGGCCCTGTAGCCTCTCTCCCCTGCCTTGCTCTCCCAGGGAATCAGCGGAGCTGTCATCACCCATGGTGAGCCACGTCTGGACTGAAGTCAGGGAAACTGCAGGCCTGCAGAAGTAGGAAGGAGAGCTGTCTGCAGACCTGCGCAGGAGACACAGGGAACATCCCCATTGGATCCTGCCACCAGATTCTCCACTTCTGCGCAGAAGGGCTCTTGAGCTGCTTCCACCCTCACACTTCCTTCCCCTGATGCAGTTTAAAGAAGGAGGGGTTTCCCTACAAATTAACTGATGCACAGCTAGCACTCATCCAAACAAGGAAGGTACTATGCCAGTGGCAAAGCACATTGGGATGCCAAGGGTGGCAAGATTGACAGGACATGGCCTTGCCTTTAAGGAGATACATACATCGCACTTGAAATAGCCACAGAATAAATGCCATAGTTCCTATCAAACCCTCAAAGGGCTGTAAGGCCTGATATGGTGGGACATTCCTTCGGGCCAGGGAGGGAAAGAAAAAGGGCCCATGTGAACAAAGACTTGGGGGGTATGAAGTGTTGGCATGCTGGGAAAAAGCAAACCTCCTAAGGCAGTGGAGTGCAGGATTTATAAATGCACAGCGTGAGAGAAAGGACTGGACACATACATTGTAGAAGACCTCGGGTTCAGCTCAGAACATTTAGTTGGTTGCAGCAGGAAGCCCTTATGAATATGAGCATGGAAATGGCATGATTAGGAATGGACTTGGCTAAGTTCATGTGTTAGGTTCAGCCTTCTGTGGGTACCTTGTGGAGAGGGTGATTTGGACAAAGGGAAAACCTATCTATAGATAAGGCTGCGATTTTGTTGCCCAAACTGGAGACCAGTAATTATACAGTCTTCTGCTACAAGTACAAGCTGCTGTTCAACTCCAGCACTTCTCTGAAAGAAAACTTGGCATTCGCAGCCACATCCACAGCTAGGAATCCCCCACTCGCTGCCACACGGCCTGAAGGGAAATACAGACAAGGCACTGCACACAGCATGGGAAATGATGGGCTGGAATGCCCACACATCTGGATTTGAGTGCATGTTTCAAAACATTAATTTCTCTACACTCACCTTCCCAATTTACATCAAAGTGACCACTCTGATTTAACAAGATTAACTGAGATAATGAATAGTAAAGCTTTAGAAAATTTAATACAGTTTGGGATGTGAAATCTATGAGATAAATACCTTGGTTTCTTCAGGAAATAAGTTATGAAAAATACAAAAAAAGTGAGAAACCAATAAACTTTAACTGAAGTGTTATATTAATCAATGAAATGTAGTCTTGTTTAGTACTTGATTGAAATGAAGTAAACTAAAAGGGGACTTTAGGCTGTTATGGAGAGTTACATATGAATTAGAAAATGGTAGTTTAGGGATATTAAAATATAATGTGTTTGGATATAATCAATATTGCCACTGGTGTGTGTGTGTGTGCTGGTCTTGGGCCTTGAATTCTGGGCCAGTGCACTGTCCCTGAGCTTTTGTGCTCAAGGCAAGTGCTCTAACACTTGATCCACAGCTTCATGTCTGGCTTTTTGAAGGTTAGTTGGAGATGAGTGTCACGGGCTTTGAACTGTGATTCTCAGGTCTCACCCACCTAAGTAGCTAGGATGACAGTATGAGACACTGGCAACCCGCAGTTGTTTTGAGTTTGCTCAAGGCTAGTGCTCTACCACTGGAGTCACAATTTCAATCCTGCATGTTTTGGTGATTAATTGGAGATAAGAGTCTCACAGACTTTCTTGCCCTGGCTGGCTTTGAACCCCATTCTCAGGTCTCAGCCTCCTGACAAGCTATGGTTACAGATGTGAGCCACCAGGGCCTGTTGTTTTTCTCTGTGTGTGTATGTGTGTACGGGGTTATTTTGTTTTTGTTTTTGTTGGTAAGAATGCCTATGTTGGGTGTCATCCCAAACTACTTGTGAGATAAAAGAATCTGATGACTGGAATTTCCTTCAAAGAAATCTTGGTTTAGGACAGAATAAGAAGGGACATCCAGTGTTTGATGAGAGATGGGAGGAAAGGAATGAAGCATGATTGGTTGTGGGTTGAGATGAAGACTCATATACTGTATGATTCCATCTTTGTGTGCTTGGGTTTGGATATGGAATGTGCTCTTAAAAGGTTCATGTAGGAAAGGCTGGATCCCAAATATACCAGTGTTCAAAGGCAAGGCTTTGGGAAGTAATTGTCTCATGAAGCTTCTGAGTTCATCCATAGAGCAATCCACTCAGAGCTTCATAAATTTATAGCATTAGTAGGAGGTGGGGCCTTGTGAAAGAAAGGAAGTCATTGGCAAGGATGTATCTTGTTCCTGCCACTTCCTGCTTCCTGACCACCTTGAGGTGAGCAGCCCTGCTCCACTACATCCTTCTTGACATGAGTTTTTAATCTCACCTCAGGCCCAAAGCAATGTAATCAAGTGTGAGCCAAAATAATTCTTTCCCCTTTAAGTTCTTTTGTTAGGTATTTGTCACAGAGACCAACAGTCTAATCCAATATATTTGCAATTTTTACGTTTCGTAATGAAACATTTCCAAGAAAAATGGGGTCATAGTATACACTTCACATGAATGTTACAAATTTATAATGGGAAATACAAAAATGTATGATTGTGCTGGCTGTAATAGGAGTTAAAATATTTATTTTCCCTTTTTATTCTCTATTATTCTGTTTTTGTTTTTGTTTTTTTGTCGGTCCTGGAGCTTGAACTCTGAGCCTGGGCACTGTCCCTCAGCTTTTCAGCTCTGGGCTAGAACTCTACCACTTGAACCACTGTGCACTTCTGGTTTTCTGGTGGTTTATTGGAGATAAGAGTCTCACTGACTTTCCTGCTCAGATAGGCTTTCAACTGCAATCCCCAGAACTCAGTCTCCTGAGTAGCCTGGATTAGAAGCCTGAGCCACTTGCAACCGGCTCTTTTATTCTTTCATATTCTCCTTCTCTCTCTTTCTCTACCTTTATTTCTTATCCTCTGTCTCCTCCCATTCTCCCCCCTCTCTGTCTTCCTCTTTTCTACAAGGGGAGGGAATTTGGGGGTGTGGGGAGGATTCTTCAGGAAACAGTTCTTTAAGCAACTCAAAAGCAGCCATGGGAGGGAGAGAATGAGCAGAGGAGAGAGAGAATAAGCAAAAGGAAAGAAATGTAAATATCACCTGATGTGGAAGAAATAGTTGTATTGTCAAAGCTCATAGAATTCACAAACTTTATAGAGCATGATAATGACAATTTGCCTTATGAAGGTTAAAATGTGCTTGTAACTTTAACAAAGTATCACTAATCCACAATACGGTGAAATATGTGAAATTCATGTAATCTCAATAAATTAAGAAAAGAAACAGTTCTTTTGATGATCTACAGAGTTGAATTGCTCCTTGTCTTAGCAGGGGTTTGTGAAAGATCAATCCCTCTTTCCAGAGAAATCAAATGCCTGTAGATTTGAGAGAATCTTCAGAAGCCAGGAAAGCCTTAGGCATTGGACCTTCCTTCTGGGGAGGGGAAATTTGGATTCTCTGGGGAGATGCCTACCCAGGCAGCCCCAGAGGCATGGCTTTGGGATTTGGAAGGGATTAGTCAATTGTTACAAGGCACAAAAGTGCTGCCACCTGATGTTAGAGAAGGGTTTCAAATGTAACCAAATTAATGGTGTCACTAAGCCACTCTCCATAAAAACCAAACCAAACAAAGAACTCCCTTTCAAAAGAGAAAACTTACTTGTGAGGGGGTTTCTACCCCTTGAAATTTGGGACCTCGACTAAAATCGGTTCTGCGACAGCCGAACCATTTCAGACTTTCCTGCAGAAAAGGAGACAATACAGTTATCAGCAAGTTATGCGCAGAGCTACTAAAAAATACAAAACAAACCTATGTCAAGAATTTGTCTAGTTAAAGACTCATAAAGACTTGGAACTAAATTTAGAGCTGGAACATTAGAAATCATCCGGTCCAGCTCTTCTTTCTACCTTCCATTTTACAAACGAGCAGGTGGAACTCAAAAGACAACCAAGCGACCTGCAGTACAGCAGGCATGGGGGCACAGCCTGCAGCAGTTTTTGGATCTATGACCCACAGTACTAAATCTAGGACACACAGACACACAGACACACACAGACATAGATACACACACACACACAAACACACACACAAAACAAGCTAAAGAATCCCAATACTTTTCATATTTTCTATCCTGCTCTCTTCCTTTCCATTAAAAATGCTGGTGACAATCAAGTAAGTTGATTTTTATAACTCACTGGTTATAATTTGAAAATCACTTTCTTAGAACACTCATTTTCTTTTTTCCTCTTTATCCCAGGCCCTTGGGCTCTAGATATTGGCCCAACCAGTCCATCCTGAGGGTAGAGAAGGTGTTGGCCATAGGGGCCATGGGAAACAAACTTGTGTGACTCAAGTTAGGATAACAGAAGGGTGGCACTACAAAGTTGGACATGGTGCAAAACTCAAGCCAAGCCTTCTCTTCTCTAGACTGTAGGCCAAGAGTTCAGTGGAGCTGTTGGGGGTACGGCCTGCAGATGGGAATTTCCCTTAAAACCATGTGAATAGGACTGGGCCCTACTTTACAGGGGGTAGCAGCCCACTGTGTCTCTGCAGAAATTTCCAAAGGCCATACATCCCTGAGATATAGGCTCTCAAGGATAATAAAGTAGAGGACAGACTTTGTTCTGAGTTGAAAAGTGGCAACTTTGATGAACTTAGCAATTCAGAGGATGGTCAAAGTCCTTTGGAAAACTGGTGTAGTTAATCTTGATCTTTTTTTCTGAGAAAGAAAGAAGTCACACTATTGGGGAGGTTACTGAAGCATCTAATTACTGAGGGTTTTGTTCTGTGTAGATCAGACTGTACTGTAATTGTGATTCTTTCCTGCCTCTGCCTCCTCACTATTGGAATGCAGCCTGCACCACTACACCCAGCCAGAGTTTATTTTGCATTTGCATAACTTGGTTTACTAGTTTACCTTCATTTTGCCCCTATGGGATCCTTAATTTAAAATGGTGACAGATGCTAGTGCCTACACCTACAATCCTCGCCACTTGGAAGATTGAAGAGTGGAGGATCATGGCGTGAGGCCAGCTTTGGAAAATGTCTTTTATACTCCTATCTCAAGAGAGCCAGGCCTGGAGGCAGGACATAATGGCACACACCTGTCATCTCAGCTAGGACAGAAAACCTAAAATTAGTATGGCCAAGAGCATGGCTGATGGTTAGAGAGACTATGTCAAAAATAGCCAGTGTAGAAAAGGGCTGGAGGAATAAGGCAGTGAGAGAGCATGAGGTCTTGAATTAAAATTCCAGTACAATTTATAAGATTATTTCTTTGTTGCTTTGTATGTCCTTCCCCCACAGTGTAACCCCCGCTTTCACTATATTTGATGTCAGTATAACATGTGGAGGAGATGGGGACAAACAAGTCGTTTAAGGATTCAGGTGGACCTGTTGCAACAATGAGAAGTACAAAATGTCATGTCAAAACCAGCTTTACAATGTCGGTGGGGGGGGGTGGGGGGGTATGATTGGGTGGGAGGGAGGGGGGAGGCTGGGAAGGGAGGTGAAGGGTAAACAAAGGAGGAGGCTGCAATGCTTGGTAAGAAATGTATGCATTATCCTGCCCATGTAATTGTAACCCCTCTGTACAGTATGTTCTCAAATAAAATAAAATAAAATTTAAAAAAAAAAATTCCAGTACAATACACACACACACACACACACACACACACAAGCTGACATTGGACTTTTGAACTGCATTTATTTAGGAAGTGCTGGGTTTTGAACTCTTGAGTCTCATGCTTGCTAGGCTTCTATGATTCTGCTAAATAATGCTCTCAACCTTTTTTTGCTAGTTAACGTTAGGATCAGCGCTTGCTTTCCATTCAGGCATGCACCTGAGCCATCATCTGCCCACTGCAGGTTTTTCCATCGTTGCTGGGATGACCGGTCCTCACCGTCATGTCAGGTTTCCCTTTGTGGAGCTGGAGTTTTGTGGCCTCCTTTTCTGCCCAGGCTGTCCTGGATATGTGATCCTCTCATTCTCAACTTCTCACAAAGCATGCGATGACAGGTGCTCACCACTCTACCCAGCCGTGACTTGAGAAGGGTGTCTCATGAGCTACTCTGTCCAGACTGTCCTTACACCACAATCCTCCTCTTCTCAAACACCCAAGTAGCTAAGATCACAGGTGTGAGTCACCAATGACCATCTTTTCCTTGATTGCTAGTTTTTAAAATATTGCATTACACAGTCATAAGAGATAATGCATGTCCTACAAAATTAAATAAAGTGTGAGAATGGGTGGGTTGGGAAGGGATGTAGGAGCAACATTGGTGAAAGGTCAGCATTGATCAAGATGTACTGTCTTCATAGAGTGCTTGGTTGAATGGAAACTCCTTTGTGCAGCTACTTCAAGATAATAAAAACGTACTTTAAAAAGGCTGTTCATATCTTAGATATTCTGAAGTTGCCATTCCCTTTGATTGTTCTTACCATAGTCTTGGCTCAGAACAAGGACACTAAGCCAGTTACTAATTGCACATTAAACAAGGCAGCACAAATCCAGTTTTTCACTTAGGCATCATGATCTAACAATTTACTTAACATTTTACCAGGAATGTTTCAGAACCAAAAAATTCAATAAATATAAGACAGAGAACAGTAACATCTTTCCTACCTTAGCAGTTGGAAATATTCCAGTTGCAATAAGACAAGCACAAATCATTGTTCCCGTTCGCCCTAGAAAAGAAACTAGTTCAAGAAACCTTTGCTCCAGTATAAAAATACACTTGGAAGTACTCAAAGTGTGCATTCATCTTGAATGTGCCTCTGACAACATTTTCAATTGAGAAATAGAAAGACCTTATTTTAATGAACACAACAAAGATAAACCAGGTCTAGGCAGGGTGGTTCACCAGTTACTCTGGTGGCAGAGATCAGGCAAACTGTGTGGTTCCAGGCCAGCTCAGGTCAAGTTGGCAAAATCTCATTCTCAACCAACAAGCTAGGCATGGGGGTTCATATCCATGAGTGCCATTATGTGGGAGACATAGAACAGGATTAAAGTTGGAGGCCAGCACAGGAAAAAGTAAGTATGAGACCTTATCTGAAAAAAATCATTGAAGCAAAACAAGAAAGGCCACATTGCTTAAGTGGCAGAGTGCTGGCTAAGCAGTTGTAAGGTACTGAATTCAAACCCAAATAGAAACTCAAAACATTAGGATTTATCATCTCTACTTAACTGTACTAGTTATTGCAATTGCATTAGAAAATCTTAAAAAAATAAAGAATGTAGAGAGAACGGCAGTATCATCAATATTTATGCACCTATTCCACAGGTTCTATAATTCTGAATCTTTTTCTGTGCTTGCTTAATTTATGTCTTGGCTTGCCTGCCTGTATTCTATCTCTGTCTGTCTCTGACATAGTGTTTTAAAGTGCACCGTTGACTTCTCACTTCAAATAACTTCACCCGCCAAGTCTCTTATATTGCATTCCAATTTATATTTTAGTTCTGACATAAAAATTTAGATTTGAAAAATATTGCCCTTTCTTCAATCCTCTGTAGATTTTGGATTAGCTGCCTATATTAATTTATGTCTTGGCTTGCCTGCCTATATTCTATCTCTGTCTGTCTCTGACATAGTGTTTTAAAGTGCACCGTTGACTTCTCACTTCAAATAACTTCACCCTCCAAGTCTCTTATATTGCATTCCAATTTATATTTTAGTTCTGACATAAAAATTTAGATTTGAAAAATATTGCCCTTTCTTCAATCCTCTGTAGATTTTGGATTAGCTGCTTTTATATAATTCTAAATGTACCCATTTTCCTAAGTATTACAACATTTTCTGATCTATCCTCTAAAAACTTTTAAATGAATCACTCATTGACCTTTGCCACTCCTGTCTGAAAGTGCTATTCTAACCAAGTACTTCCACAAAGGAAAGTGACTGGCACCATTAGCTTTGATGAACACAAGCTTCCTGCTAGATGAGGCGACTGGCTATTGCTTCTCTCAGTTTCACTGACTGCAAACGTGTCAATTCTGCAGGACATATCTGGGTTTCTGCAAGTATGATATTTTCCCATTGGAAGGAAAGTTGTGAAAAGTTCTTTTAGCAATTATAGATACACTAACATGGGACACCTTCCCATGCCAATGCTGTGAATAAGTACAGCTTCAGGATCAGTAAGTGTCCTCTCCTCTCAGCCAGGTGAAACAGGAAACCATGAAGCACACAGTAATCATTGTGTAATCATTTGGCAAGCATTCATCACTAAACCTCTTAAATTAGACGATGATGAGTTCTCCCAGCCGGAAACGTCAGGGCTGTCGTATCATCAACAATCTGTCATTTCCAATTGGTCAGAAAAATCAAGACATGGAATTCTAGATATTTTTTTAATTAGAAGCTTTCCCCTAATATTTTACTAGTGGTCTTGCTTGTATTGAATTTAACTGTAATAATAGATATCATCACTCAACTTCATAGAATCTTCCTGAAACACACAACTTAGTTTTCATGAAATTAAAACTTATTCTGTTCAGTTTGATATTTTCAGATTTATATAATATTCAATTTTTGATGTAATTCTAATATCAAATAGCAGACACTTGACGTGCTAACCTTTATCCACTGACTCACAGATCTCACATAATCTTTAAATCTGTTAGGATGATATCTTGCCATCAGGAAGAAAAACCTGAGGTCTATGAGTTTAAGAGACTCTGTGGGGCTGTGTGTGAATGTGTGTGCCTGTGTGTGTCTCTGTGTGTGCTGGTACTGGGACACTTGAACTCAGGATCTCCCTTGGCTGCTTCTCCTCAAGCAGGATGCTCTACCACTTGAGTCACACCTTCATTTCCAGGTCTCTGCTGGGTAGAGACAAGAGTCTCATGAATTTTTCTGCCTGGGTTGTCTTTGAACCATGATCCTCAATTCTCAACCTTCTGGGGAGCTTCAGTTATAAGCATTAACCACCCACGCTTGGCTGAGCCTTTCACATAGCCAAATACAAACCATCTTAATGTCAAGTGAGAAGTCTGTCATGTTGACAGTCTTGGACAGTTCTCAGAAGAAGAAATACAAATGGCTGAATATATACATGAAGAAACATTCAACTTCCTTAGCCATCAAGAAAAGACAAATAAAATAGGCACTAAGTTTGTATCACACCCAAGTCAGATTAGCAATCATAAGTAGAGTGAAAAGGATACAGGAGAGAGGTGGGAAGGAGCCCTCATATACTGTTGGTGAGGATGTAAGTAAGTAGTACATCCACTATGGAAATTAGTATGGAGGTTTTGTAATTCTTTTAGGGTCTTAAGAGTTACTTCACTGGTGATTCTCTCTTCTAGTTTAGAAAAAGAATCATACTAATTCACACAGATTCACCCAGAATATAAAGAGCAACTAATTACACTAATATGATGAAAGAGAAAAATCTTATTACCATCTCAAAAACTCAGGAAAAAGCTTATGATAGAATTCAATATCCATTCATGATTTAAAAATATCTCCTTAGCTCACTAAAGGAATTTTTTTATTCTGATAAAGCAGATCTAAAAGTCAAAAATATCACCCCACAGTCCTAAAACAGCAGGTGACATGATAAAAACGTTTCCTTTAAGATCAGAAACAAATTTTAAAAAGTAACTATTTGTATTTCTAATTCAATCCTGTGCAGAACAGTCTACCCAATGTTGGGGAGTAAGAAGGACTAAAAAGAAAAAAAACACAACTTATTATTTTCACATGATATAGTCAGGAACCACATAACCAAAAAGAATTAACAGATAAATTAGAATGAAGTAGGCTTAGTAAAGTTGCTAACTGCAAAGTTGAAAATAAAAATCCACTGTATTGAGACAATCAATCACAGAAATCTCAGCCTTCTTAATAGCTATCATTACAGATTTGAGCAAGCAACACCCATGGTCAATTTCTTAAGTAAATAAAAGATATGAACCACACACTGCACACCCACACCCACACGCACGTGTGCATACACACACATACACACACACATACACACACACCCATACACTTGTACTAAGAATGAAAAATTTCACTATAATCAAAATTACAACCTGAATATTCTATATGAAAAACGCACAATAACCTCATTATGAAAAAAATATGCCAATCAAGTTTAAAGGACTACACAGTGGGAAAAGATAGTTGCATTCCATACTATTACCAAATATTAGCATTCAAATTCCTTAAATAAGAGCAATAATAAAATACCTTGGCTATCACGCCATGAGTGGCAATATCAAGGTGGCAGGTCATAGGAAGAAAGCAAGATCAATATGAATGAATACTAAAAAAAAGAAACAGGTACAAACAAGGTAAAAACTAATCCTACGAACAATCCAAAAGACAGATCACTGAAATATATACAAACACAAGATCATGCAAATACCTTCTGATCAAAAATATAAAGATAAAATGATGTTTGGCTTCAAGAAGAGAATTAGCATTAATTCAAGGAAACTGAAACCAACTTCTGGGATCATATTATTTTAGGCTGGGCCATATAAAATATCCTAGACAAACAAAAAATTTTAAAGTATCTGGCAGTTTCCTGTGGCTCAACACCCATAGTTATGTCAGCTTTCTGCCACTGAGATAAAATACCAAAGATAATCCAAAACAGGGAAGGTTTATCTTGGCTCATGATTTCAGGGCCTGCTTGCAGGATGAGATCAGCTAGCCTGTTGCTCTGGGGCCTGTGGCACACAGGATATCAGAGTGGGAACACATGATGGAAGGAGCTGCTCACCTCCTGATGACCAGGAAGCAAAGGAAGGTCCCCATATCCCTTTCATAGCCATGCCTCCAAGAGCCTAGCATCCTTCTTTGAAGCTCCATCTTTCAAAGATTCCATCAGTGACATGAGCTGAGGTCCCAACTTTTAATGCATGGATGGGCCTTTTAGGGATATTAAGATCCAAGCCATGGCAATAGTTTCATTTTTCCATGGGCTTGTAAATTGCAAAGTTCAGACTATTTCTACCTTGTTAACCAGTGGGATATAACTTGACTCTATTGAAGTATATAACACAGTTTTGCTGTGTTAACAGCTGCTTTATAGCCCATAAAACAACTCTTTTTTGGTTAAACACTGTGAACTATGCAGAAATTATTATTTCAAACCCAAAGATAAGTGAAAGAAAACCTACAAACACTTAAATTAGCTTTATTTAAAATATTACCAATCAAACAATAATAAATATCTTTATTTACTCCCTACCAAACCAACTTCATTTCATCACACACTAAAAATTCCAGTGGAATTTTAATAAGTCCTATCTTTGTAGGCTTACATAACCTTAATAGTTTCTCACAAAGTTTAACAATCATTTTAAATTCTACTGGAACAAAATGGAATTTAGACCAGTGGAACAGAATAGAGAACCAAGAAATAGATTTACGGACTTCTGATCAACTGATCTTGGACAAAGTTGCCAAGAACACAATCATGATATGGGAACAAGTGAACATACATGAGCAAAATGATGAAATTGGACCATATCTCACTCACTCCAATACACAACATCTCCTAATGATTAGAGACAAACATTAGACCTACAATTCCAAAAGTAGTAGCAGAAAATAATGGGGAATTACTTTGTAACACTCATCTGGGATAAATAATTTTTGGATATAAATTGAAAAGCAGAGACAATAAAAGCAAAAATTAAACACATGAGAGAAAACACAAAATGCACAGGAAAGTCAATAAAAATAACTGAGCAAAACATGACCCATGGAATATCCAAAAAGATTTAAGGAACTCAACAAAACAGCAAGAAAATAAACTCCCCCCCCCAAAAAAAGATGAAGAGATATGTATGTTGGTTATCCCCATCATCACAGTACTCAAGGAGCTGAGGCAAGAGGATCACAAGTTTGACACTAGCTTGTGCTCCATAAGGAAAGCCTGTCTCCAACAAAACAAACAAAACAAAAGAGAAAGCTAGACATGGTAGGTCACACTGTAATCCTAGCTATTCAGGTAGTGGCAATGGGGAAGATTATTGTTTATGACCAGGCAAAAGGTTTGCAAGACTTCAACTCAAGTAAAAAGTTGAGCACCGGTATGTGTGCCCATTATGTCAGATATGTGAAAAATGTGAAGCAGAGGCTCACAGCCTACAACTGTGTTGAACCTCTCTCTGAGTAGTAACTAAAGCAAAAAGGGATGAGGGTAGGTGTGTGAGCTTTGGGCTCAAACAACAGTAATGCCAACAAAACAAAATCACCTCAAACTCCCGCAATAAAAATGGGATTTGGTGGGACAAAGGACTTGGAAAGACAGTTCTCAAAAAGAAACATGCAAATGGCCAAAAGAGATATAAATAATGTTCAATGTCACTATGTAAGACAAGACATTAGAAAACTAGCTTCATTTAGCCATTCCACAATGCATACAAATATAAAAATTTTATATGGCACATCACACATAAACACAATTTTGTCAGTTAAAAAGGAAAAAATACTGTTACACATTGAGTGGGAAGGAAAATAGGAGAAAAATGAGGGTGTGGGTAACATTTGACAAGAAATGTACTCACTACCTTATATGTTAAACTGTAACCCTTCTGTATATCACCTTGATAAAATAAAAATTTTAAAAACCACTCTAACATTCTGAAGTCAAGCATCCTTTATATTTTGACACATAAACTGAAGAATCAGAAATGAAGAAACCCAAATCATCACCAATTAAAAGAAAAATACCTTCTTTACCTTTTTTCTTTTGTTCTTTTCCTTCATTACACTTTACCTGTCTTCTTCCCTCCCTTTTCTATTTCCTTTCTATCCTTCTTTTTTTCTTCAACCTTAAAATCAATATTCAAAAACCAACATAAAAATATTAATACTAGGGCTAGGAAGGTGGCTCAGTGATACAGTGCTTGCCTTGCATGCTTGAAGCCCTGGGTTCGATTCCTTAGCACCACATAATCAGAAAAAGCCAGAAGTGGCGCTGTGGCTCAAGTTGTAGAACACTGGTCTTGAGCTAAAGAGCTGAGAGACAGCGCCCAGGCCCAGAGTTTAGGTCCCAGGACTGACAAAAAAAAAATAAATAACACTAGCTGGGTGCTGTGTTTAATGCCTGTAATCCTAGCTGCTCAGGAGGCTGAGATCTGAGGATCCCAGTTAAAAGCTTGCCTGGGCAGGAATGTCTGAGAGTCTCTTATTTCTGATTAACCACCAGAAAACTGGAAATGGTGCTGTGGCTCAAGTGGTAGACCACTAGCCTTGAGCTGAAGAGCTCAAGGACAGTGTTCAGGCCCAGACTTCAAGCCCCACGACTGACAAAAAATAAAAATTAAAAATATTAACACTGCTTTACAGCAGTACAAATCCTCTGCTAACCCTTCAATATTTATTTTCAGTCATCTTTAGAAAAGGGGAACAGAAAGAAAAGCATTCTTACCTTTGCCTCCTTTACAGTGAAGCGCAGCAACATTTTGAGGATCCAAGTCCAACCAACCAACAATGTCTTTGGAGAGCTGAATCATCTCCCTGATTTCACACAGAAGATTTGTATGTGATTAAAAATAGCTCCAAAATTCAAGCCTAGTGAAATTAGCACTCTCCCGACAGTCATACTCTCCTGACAGTCTGTGTGGCACAAAACTTACTCAAGGCTGGGAACATTATGGTCATCAATCATTATCCTATGCATTCGGTCGTGGAAATGTAGCGGGTTATAAGATTTCTCACCTACAAGAAACAATATACACATCACATCTTTATGGCTAATAATGCAGAAGTTAGGAATAAAGTTCAAATTTTCTTTTGGTAATTGCTATTTTGTTGCCAAAGGGGTTTTCTGGGAAGCAAGCGCCTGTTGCTCTAAAACGATTCTTAAAACCAACAGCACAAAATTCCCTAAGAGGGAGGCAGGCAGGCCCCCCGTGGACCTAAGAGGCAAAGGAGAGAGTGAAGGATTTTAGGGAAGGATACTTGGTTTGTTCACTTCTGGTAATCTAGAATCAAGCTGTTGTTTCATATACTTCACTTTTAGCCTTCTAGCAGACTACTCATTCTGTCATCACACATTGTACCATGCTCAGTCCCTGGGAAATAAATGGTCATTTAATGTGTAGACAGGAGAAAACAAAATCAAGACAGACACAATGGGAGTCTTTTCTACAGGTTTCTTTTTGTTGTTGTTTTCTATCAGGGGCCTTGTTCTTATCATCACCAGCTTCCGGGGAGTCAGAGAACACACCTGCTGAATTGTCTTCAGTACAATCTGGCATGGAAGACAGAGAGACTTCTCTAAGCCTAAGAGCACCAGTAGACCTTCCCTGAACCCTTCCTCACTATTTGCCTCTCTGGTCTCATTGGCCTATCTCCCTCAAAGGGAACTTTGTGCTACCAAGCTAACTTTTCCCACCACACAGGACCAGCACAAACTAAGGATTTCTTTCTTTCTTTTTTTTTTTGTCAATTTTGGAGCTTAAACTCAGGGCTTGGGTGCAGTCCTTGAGTTCTTTTGCTCAAGGCCAGTGCTCTGCCACTTTGAGCCACAGCTCCACTTCCCCAAGTAGGGATTTCTGATGTAAATCCCCACACTAAATATTTACGACTAAATGAAGCAGAAAAGAGTGATCATTTTCTTATAGGTTTTCTATCTACAGTAGCAAAATTAAGTTATATACATACTACAGAGGTTGTATACGAAATAATGGCCAAAGTGTTTGGTGTCGAGGAATCGGACGACCTCCTAAAAAAGAGAAGATATATTCATAAGCTGCTTAGTTGAATGGCAATTCCTTTGTACAACTAAAGATACGAGGGGGGAAAATGCTGTCTACTACTCTTGGAAAACCCTTTTTGTCACAGCTTTAACCTATTTTTCACCTGAAAGAATAAACTTGTAGAACACTGCCCTCCCTGGGTCAATCTCAAGCCTGAGTCCACAGTGTATAGTGAGAAATACCCACTGGTTATATAAATATGCTTACCTCTATCGGGTTCCTATACAATGCCAGTCGTCCAGAGGCAGGAAATGACATGGCAATCATGCGCTCTGAAAGTTAAAATGATCACTATTATGAATGTCTTTATAGATGGGAAACATAGAAAAACTATTCCACATATATAACAAAACGTTTTCTTTCAAAATCAAAAAGAACTTTAAAGATAGGAATTGAGAGGAACATGTAATACATTTCCAGGATAACTAAGATGATTAAACTATGCAACAGAATAATAGTTAAACTGCCATGGTATTCTTTAGGCACAGTTTGTACTTGGTGCTTTCCAGCCCTCTTGGCTCAGAAAGTCTGAGACCTACAGAGTAGTGACCTTATTCTCTAGATTTTAGGAAGAGAAAAAGTCTCTCTTGGATCCTTGATGTATCTACCAAAACTAAATAAATGAAAAATCCATCCCAGTCACCAAGTCTTGATTTGAAATGACATGAGATTTTTCTGTGCCCAAAGGTAACCTATCAATATGTTACCCTAACTTAGTAGCATGTCATCACAGATAGAGTACGTTGCCAGAATATGCTGAGAAAGCAAACAAGCAAGCGAGCAAGCTAGGAAGGAAGGAAGACAGGTTGAAAAAAAAGGAAGGAAAGGAGAAAAAAAAGAAAAAGGAAGAAAGAAACCAAAAAAAGAAAGAAAGGAGAAAGAAAGGGAGAAAAAAGCTGGGCATGGTAGCAGGAACTTGGAAACCTAGCTACTTGGGAGGCAAATATCAGGGGATCATGGCAAGACTTCATCTCAATTAATGGCTTGGTATGGTCGCATACCTATGTCATCCTCAGTGACACGGGTAAGAATAAGTAGAAGAATTGTAGCCCAGGACAGCTGGGGCATAAAGTAAGACCCTACCTTGAAAACAAACAATACATAAAGAGACTAGTGTTGTGGCTCAAGTGGTAGAGCACCTCTCTAGCAAGCATGAGGCTCTGAGTTCATTCCTAGTAGCACAAAGAATCAAAAGCAGCAACAAAATAAAAATAAAATGAGCACAAACCAACATGGTTTAGATACAAATATTTTGGTTTGGAGAAACAAAAAAGAATATTACGAGAAAAATGTGAAATTAAGATAAGTGAACCAAGACTTAAACTCAAAACCCAGTACTGTAATTAGAATAAATAAATCAACAGCTAAGTTTCACAAACCTGTGATATAGGTCAAATCTATATCAAATCCATCCTTGATGTATCTCCTCTTGTTTCCAGACACCTGGGTGTTAAAAAAATCATTGGCTTGAAAAATATTAATCAATCACAAAGAATTTTATATTGTTATCTACATCTCCTGCAAGTATTTCATGGTAGGAAAAAACATGTTTTGCCCACTCACCATCCTTCTGGTTGATTGTTCAAGATGTCTTATTTGATTTGCCAGGTGAAATAGTCTCAATAGAGTGATAAGCCGCATAGGTCGAAATACAACAGTCAGTCTAAATAAATTTATAGATGAATTTGAAAGGATTTCTTTTTGGTTCAGAAATAGAAGAGTTTATCAGTGTGGATATTAAGCTGTGTGTGTGTGTGTGTGCCCGGGCATGCATGTACTAATTCTTCAACCCCAGTGCCTTGTGCATGCTGCACTACTGTTCTATCTGTCAGCTATGCCCCTGGCCCCAGAGGATTTACAGTAGCATGTGTATATATTTTTAGTTGTTACAACAGACCTAGGGATGGAGGCTAGAAATGCTGCTAGACACCTACAATGAGTGGAAATTTAGGGGGAATTTTAGAATGTTTCTGCCTTCCATCCAATCCACCTGAATAAATAATCATCCAATCTAAAATGTCAATAATGCTAAGGTTGGGAAATTAGATTGTAGAGAAATAACAAGTTGATTAGAATCTGTAGATCAAATACTTTGGTTTAAGATCAGTACTTTTCATTCTCCCCACAAATGAACTGAGTTTTGTCAACTGGTATTACTCTTTTTTGGTAACAGAGGTTCACTATAATTACTTGTTAAGTGGGTACTTTATTACTCAACCCTTTATTACCCATTCCTAAATATTTTATTTTCTAAAAATTTATTTGGTACTGAACCTAAACAGAAATCAACCTTAAATATGCACAATTAAAGCATGGAAATTTTAAAAAGTAAAAGAACAAATTAAAAAGACTTTAATGAGTAAGTCATATATGTTTCATACCTTGGAATGCTTGTAAGAATATTAAATTCAAAACCTACGGAGGTGATATTAATACATAGCGTGATGCTAATGATGACTATATCAAAGATGTTAAGTAAATCAGAAAAATAATACTTTCTCCTGTAAGAGATAATAAAGAGGGTTATTTTCTCCAAGAGGATATAGGAATATCTTAGCAGCACAAGTTACTTGATTCATCTTCATTAGAAATATGTACATTAAGAGAGAACTTAAAATGCATTGTCTAGACTAGATTAAGGGATATATAATATTAAGGAAAGTTCAGAAGTAGTAAATTTATACTTATTATATTATATATTTGCATCTATGATGGCAATTTAAACTGAGTAAATAAGAGACATAACCAAACCACTTAACTAGAGGCATGCACTGCATTCTCCCAAATATGAGGGGAAGAAACATGTGATTGTACAGTTCTGTTGGACAAGAAGATCAGTACATCACATCCTTAAAGCAATGGGCTAAGAAAGAATGCAGGAGGAGCTTTTGAGAGGGGAAGGAAGTGCTATTTTGAACTCATGATCTTGTCTTGCTGGAATCCCAACAGGCTGTTGATTCCTTCCTAGGACAAAGACAGACTTCTATCCACCACAAGCTCCTTTCCAACACTGGCTCCTGCAGAGCTGAGCAGTAGGCCTCCAGGAAAAGCATCTTCTACCTCTGAGGAAGCCTTTTTCAGGCTCTTACTAACCTGGTAGTGAACTCTCCTTAGCTCAAAAGCAGGAGGATAAAAAGTCATCAGGAAAGAACACAAACTGCCTTCTGAAGTACTCTGGAGAAAGGGAGGCCGGGAGACCCAGTCCCTGACTCTCACAGCAGCCCAGCTGCAAGGCTTGTCTGATTTACCCACCTTCTTAGAAAACCAGCAATCCGAAAAGGAAAAACATCTATCACTTTCTTCCTACCACATTTCACTAATGAGATAAGCATTCCTCACATCACCTCCAGATCTCATCTAATCCAGATCACCTCCAGATCTCATCTCATCATTGTTTGAATGAAATAACCACTTTCATGAATGACTATTTATGACCTAAGTACCTAGTATTTCAAATCTTAGTTGAGATTCAAGTTGTAACCAAAGCACTAATATTTAGACATCACATACATATTCCCCTCTTCTTAACATGCATGTCAACATATTAATTGCCTAGCCCTTTTTTGAATGGTGCTTTCTAGAATACATTGTGGGAGTGTCGGGTGCAATATAAAACTAATTAAAGCCAGTCAGTGAAAACCGGGGGTTTGGACTGACCTTTATTTGTGGCCCATGACTTCAAGAATTATTATTTTGTAGAAGAAGGACACATATAGTTGGGTTGACTTGCTAATTATCTTAGGCTTCTTTTATATGTAGTGTTAAAGCAATGAGTTTTTAATAGAGAGTTTAAGAGGAGCTTAATGCACATGATTAAAGGAAAACAGTGGGCCTGAGCTGGTTGGCTCAGGAGCCTAGGGTTCTTCTTAAAACTGCACAATGTCAATTTAGACTTAAAGAAAGAACAAAACTTACCCTTCTATGTAAACTTGAAGGAGCACATTAATAAAGAAAAATATAGCAATTGCCAATGAAAAAATTTGAAGTTGCATAGGAATATGAGGTTCACTCACAACAAGCACCACATCAATAAAAAGCAGCAAGATTCCAAATAATCTGAAATAAATAAAGATAATGTGGTTTTTCTCCACAGTTAACAATTACTAAAGCCATTCATCAGAAACCAAAAGGCAACTGGCAGGAAGAATTATAGTATATTAGAATCTAAAAAACATTGCTCTGTCTTTTTTTTTTTGTTTGTAAGTCATCGGCACTATCAGCTCTTCAGCTCTAGGCGAGTGCACTACCACTTGAGCCACAGTGCCACTTCTGGTTTCCCAAGTAGCTTACTGGAGATAAGAGTCTAACGGAGTTTCCTGGGCGGGCTGGCTTTGAACCATGATCCTCAGATCTCAGCCTCCTGAGTAGCTAGGATTACAGGTGTGAGCCACCCATGCCTGGCAATTACTCCATCTTTATTCAACAGAAGCAGTCATTAGTGAATAACATTTCCACCAAACCAATGACTTGGATGTAATGTAGATACATCAGATAGAACAAAACTAAAATAAAGTGACAAATACCTGTGTAAACTCTTTAAATTTGAGAATTTCATAAGGAGCATCTCTCAGTTTCTTATAGTAAATGTCATTAATCTTAGTAATTTTTAAGAATTCAATTGTCAAATCTCAGTGAAGTCCTTCCTGATCTAAGCCCTGGAAAGACGACTTTGGCTGGGTGCAGTGGTTCACAGCTTTAATATTAGCTACTCGGAAGGCTTAGGAGGATCAGGCCAAGGCTAGCACCAGCAAAACATTCTCAAGACCCATTTCAACCAAACAAGCTGGGTGTGCCTGTTCTCCCAGTTACGTCAGGAAACCTCATTCGGAAGACTGAAGCCCAGGCCAGTCAAAGAAAAAAGTCAAAATCCCACAACAACCATGAACAAAAAAGCAGAAGAGGGACTTGGTAGAGTACTTGCCTAGCATGCATGAATTGCTGGGTGCAATGCTCAGTACCACATAAATAGAAAAAGCTGGAGGTGGTGCTGTGGCTCAAGAGGTAGACTGCTAGCCTTGAGCAAAAGAAGCTTGGTGACAGTGCCCAGGACCAGAGAGTTTCATCCATAAAAGTGACCAAAAAATACAGCAGAATAGATACAAGTCTCTAAATTTATCAATGACAACAACAACAACACACACACAATATTCACACACACACACACACACACACACACACACACACACACACACACACATACAGACAAACGTTAATCATTGTGATTTGGAAGATACTTTGCTTAATCTTACTACAGTCAATCATAACATATACCACTCATTCTCACAGGATCTCATACAAAGGCTGATAGCTTTCTATGGTTTTTCTTCTGACTTTTTTGTGACTTTTTGCTGTGTTAACTCTCTTTTCTTCTTTTTTAAAAAAATATGTTGTTTTATTGTAAACTAGAAGTGGCATTGTGGCTCAAAGTGGTAGAGCACTGGACTTGAGCTGAAGAGCTGAGGGACAGCCCCTAGGGCCAGAGTTCAAGCCCCAAGACTGACATAAAAAACAAAAACAACAAAAACCCAAAGCAAGAAGTGCTGGGAATGTGGTTCAGATAGTAGAATGCCTGCCCAGCAAGCATGAGGCCCTAATACCAAAGAACAATACCAATTACTGGGGATCGAACCCAGTATATAGGACGTTGCACTTGCTAGGCAAGTAATTTGCCACTGAGCTACATCCCAACCCTCCAGTGCCACTTGGACCAGAATGATTTTTCTTTTAGCAATGAGGTTTTTCAAAAGTACACACATATGTATTCCTGGGTACTTTTAGTACAGCAATGGGCACAAGAAAAAGAATTCATTTTTTTGTTTTCTTTTTTTAAATATTTTTTCCTGTAAAGATACTGTACAGAGGGGTTACAGTTACATAAGTAAGATAATGAGTCCATTTCCTATCAAGAATTGCTATCCTTTCCTTTTTTTTCCCCCTACCATCCCTTTCCTTCCCACCTTCCCAACTCCTCCCTCCCTCTGAAAGTTGTAAAGTTCATTTTCCACATACTGTCTTGTATATCTGGTTGTTACAATGAGTCATCCTATATCCTTATTTCAGCATTTTGCTATTTCCCCTCACCTCCCCAAATTAGAAAATTGTATGTACAAGATGCAGGGCAACAGAATCAAATACGGTGAAAACAGGTTATACTATGGGGGAAGAACATACAAAAGAAACCAAACAATCACATAGTACATTATAGGTACATTAAAAACAATAGTAAGAAAAATAAAACCAAAGAATTCAATTGAATAAGTATGTATATGATTAAACTTTAAGTGCTCCTAAGACTTTCTTTCATATATTTGAAACATACTCCCCATTAATTGATTGTATTATTTGTATGTTTATGAAGATATATTAAATAGACTGCAAAGAATTTATTTTTTTTGGGTCTGGGCACTGTCTCTGAGCTCTTCAGCTCAAGGCTAGTGCTCTATCATTGGAGCCACAACTCCACTTCCAGCTTTTTCTGCTTATGTGGTGCTGAAGAATCAAACCCAGGGCCTGATGGATACAAGGCAAGCACTCCCAATGAGCCACCTTCCCAGCCCAAAGAATTTTTTTTTGTAATTGCAACTCAAATTAAATTATTATTATTTTTACAGAACCCCAAGTCACAGTATAAAATCATTCTTTCATGTAGAGATGTAGCCTAAGTAACATGTTTCCAGAACTGAGTAATTACATGTTTAAGGTACTTAATAAAATGTAATCTACACTTATAAAACTTTAAGGTTTTCTTTGGTGTCAGTTGTGGGCTTGAATTAAGGGCCTGGGTGCCATCCTTGAGCCTGTGTGCTCAAGGCTAGTGTTCTACCACTTTGAACCACAGAGCCACTTCCTATACTTAGAAAACTTTATGATGCAGGCTTTATTACTTTTACTTTTATAAGTAGAAAATCAGTATAGCATTATGTAGATTGAGACAAATGTAATTTCTTTGCAACTTTGAAATGTCTGGCTTAGGGCAATTTTCCAAGATAGATTGTAAGTAGGTATTTTGCTAAATCTTGTCAGTGAAAATTATTTTTGTTCTGCTTTGACCTTTTCAGATCCTTTGCAAGTACAAATCTGGATACTAACTGTCGTACACATAGTTCATTGCTTTTGTTTCTAGAGTCTCACATACCTAAAAGCTATAGATGTCACAATTGATGTCACAGTTTTCTTCATGTTGCTGTAAAATGAATAAAAATCAAATCAATCACATATTGTTTCTCCAACACATCCTATAAGATTAACCAAAAAGCAAAGGCCTCTATTAGTATCGATTTAAGCATAAATATCAATTTACAAGGAAATTCTTCAATGGTTTTATAACAAAATATTTTTTTACTAATAGCTGAAATGTTTACATTTCTCTTTCATGTGTTTTTCAGTTTCACATCCTGAATATATGTGGAGAACAAACAAACACCAAATTGTGGATAATTAGTAATATTTCCTTTGGGCATACTATCCTAATCTGACTATGGTAGAATTAATCTTGAAGTCATCAACTAGTGTACATATGGTAGAAGGGAGCTGCTTTCTGATGTCAGTTCCTCCGTGAACAGATTGCAGAATCCTGGGCAAGTCATTACACTTTGATCAGACCTGTACCCACAATAATGAAATGGGAGTCATCAGGGATGAACATGGGCAGTAAATGGGTCTCTTGTCTTTTAATCCTCATCTCTTGAGTCAGACATCCAGCACATACTTAGAGTGAGTAAGGTAAGGCATTTTAGTAAAACCTATTTCAAAGAAAAAACACCCTAAAGATTGGGCTTTTCCCATTAATCAAAAGGAGAGCCTGTATAAAGTATTGTCTTCTTTTATCTTACAGCTGAATATAATGCAGCCTCTGGAGAGCAATTTCTTATGCTGCTGAGGCTTACAAGAAGGGACCAAACTTCCCCTCTAAGTGGAACGAACTCCAAGACAAGGCCCATAGCCTGTGCCCAAAACTGTGAAATGGACACTGAGAACAGAGGCAGTGCCAAAGCTGCCCATGGATGACTGCAGTTAACTTGAGATACAGGAAATTCCCAATTGTAATCTTCCCTTCATCTCCTCACCTATGCCTACTGCCTACTGCCTACTACTTTATCCTGGCTTAGCATACTTAGGTGGTGTGCATGAGGGATCAAGCTGGCCCAAGAGGTGAATTCTCTCCCCCAGGAATTCTAGTCCCTCACTACAAGGCCCTTCTAATCTCCCACACCAATTGAGTCTGTGAAGTGAAGAAGTGTTATAATAAATGTGAACTTGCCTAACTGGGTGACTATACAGAGCCATGTGTGACAGGTTCATGGAGGCACACAGGAAAGACTTGGAGGTAGCTCTGGCCCCTCCAATCTCTCTTCTAGTTATTGTTAAAGAGTGCACTATGTAGCTACAACCAGTCTGTGCAGAGTGTTTACAGGAAAAAGACTGTGAGTGGATAAGCCTGTATGCAGAAAAAGTTCTGTTTATATTTGGAAGCAAAAGATAGCTACTCCAACATGCAGCAACTCAAACTGTAATAGGCATGCACATATGCTCTTCAAAGCCATTAATCCAAAGGTGTACTCAATCCAACAGGAAGGAATCAAAATGAAGTGGCAGGCATCAGGAAAGGGTCTTAAAAGAAAGGTGTCCAATAAGAACAATTCAAAACTACAAAATACATAAGGATATTTAATGAAGCATCAAATGCACCAGGTGGAAATTCAAATAAATCACTCCAAGAGCAAAAGTAAAAAACATAAAACTCTCAATAATAAAAGGAAGAAAAAGCAGGAGCTGGGGAGATGTGGTGTAATTAGCCAAAACACCTAAATCAGTTAAACAGACCTATCATAAGCAATGAAATTGAAACTGTAATAAGGTCTGCCAAGAAAGACAGTCCAGGACCATATGAATTCATTGTGGAATTTTTTCTTAGCATTAAAGAATTAATCTTAATGTTTCTCAAAATTCCATACAGTAGAAAGGGCAGGAATGCTACCAAACTCATTCCACAGAGCCAGTACCAACAGACACCAAAAACAAGTAAGAACCAAGAAAAAAAATTCAGCCAATGTCCTTGATGAATGTAGGCGCATATGTTCTAAATATAATAGAAACTAAATTCAACAACATAAAAATATCTTACACTGCAGTATAATGTATTGGGTTTAGTTCGAAGGATGTGAAGATGGCTCAACTTATGCAAATTAATTAACATAATATAGGGCATAATAGAGCAAAGCACAAAACACATGATCATCTCAATAGATGCAGAAAATAAGTTGTTTTTTTGTTTGGTTGTTTGCCAGTCCTGGGTCTTGAACTTAGGGTTTGGGCTCTGTTCCTTAGCCTCTCTCTTAAAGCTAGTGTTCTACCACTGAGCCACTGCATCACTTTGGGCTTTTTCTGAGTAGTTTATTGGAGATAAGAATCACAACCCCTCTATATGGTATTTTCACAATAAAAAAATGTCCACATTAATCAAGTGAAAAAAAGAACCCTTAGATATTTATATCAGTATATGACATAATGAATTTCTTTGTCTTAAAAAAAAATCTCATGACTTTCTTCTGATGGAGGCTTCTTGAGTAGCTAGGATTATAGGCATGAGCCAAGAGCACCTGGCTCAGAAAATACTTTTGAAAAAAATTAAATCAATCATACTTCATGGTAGAAGCCTAAAAGAACTAGGAATAGAAAGAATGTATCTCAACACAAGAAAGGCTATCAGTGTAAAGCCTGTAGCCAACATTGTATAAAATAGGAAAAAATGAAACCATTTTCTCTACAGTCAGGAATGTGGCAGAGGTGTCTCTATTTCCACCCTCATTTTCTGTAATGTTCCTTATCTTATCCAGAGAAGTAAGGGAAGAGAAAGAAATGAAAGGGATGCCAAGAAGAAATCTAATTATTCTTATGCAGATAGTGAGAAGTTATCTAAAAGACCTCAAAGATTCTACCAAGAAAACTCTCTTAGATGTGATAAAGACTTTCAGTGAAGTGGCAGGATTCAAAAACAACACATATAATTAACAGCCTTTTCTATACTCCAATATTGTATAAACCTTCTCTACAACACTGACACAGTTGTGGGTGATTAAAACAACCTCGATACATTTAGTATCTTTCTACAGTTTTTCTCCCCACCCCCTGCCCACCCCAGTAATATATGCCTTTTCCTAGGGTACAGGATCCATCAATAGCTTCTTCTCTCCAACAGCAGACTGTTTTACTCATATTTTTTCTGGAAGCAACATATTCATCACCATCATCCACCCTGAACTATTGGTTTATATATCATTCATCAACAAAAGTCAAACTATATCATTAGAGACTTGTTACATGTAGAAATTATCTGAACAATAAAACTCTTTAAGTCTAAAGTATAAACATTTTTTTGTTGGTCATGGGGCTTGAATTTGGCCTGGGTGCTGTCCCTCAGCTCTTCAGCTCAAAGCTAGGGCTCTACCACTTGAGCCACAGTGCCATTTGCAGTTTTCTGGTGGGCTGGCTTTGAACCACAATCCTCAGATCTCAGCCTCCTGAGTAGCTAGGATTACAAGCATGAGCCACCAGCACCTGGCTAAGTATAAACATTTTAAAGAAATAATTTTAGACTCATTATATTGAACTCTAATTTACCATGACTATTTCCAAGATTTAATTGTGATAATCTCTCTCACTCTGTCTCTTCCTCTCTCTCTATGCACATATAGGTAAACTTTGTATGTTCTAAGTATCAATTTACATGCTATACATACATGTGTACATGTGTCAGTCAGTAGTCTTTGATTATACAATCTTTGTAAGATGAAAGGCATCAAAGATCTCTTAGACGAGTCAGAGATTACTGAGGTCATTTTGTTCATATCAGTGTGAAGGATTAAAAATAAGATTTAGAGATTACAAATGATTTCTCAGACTTAATTTCTTTTTGGCCAGAACATGTACAATTACTCTACATTCTCTAAGGAGATTGAGTGGTTATTTACAATAGATTGAGTAGTTATTTACGAAGTAGTATACCAATTTTACCTATAATTATTAAATCTCCTATGGTGCACAGATAATCAATATAAAGCCTCCTCTGAAGTATTACTGTAAAAGCTTCGAGAATCAAAGTTGAAGTTGAAATTTTATTACTGCAACTGGCTAATATGTGCATCAACATTTTGCATTAAATTTATTTTGAAATTCAACTTGAGTGTGTAGGTATGCATCATCCTTTCCCTCTCTAATTTCCTCGTTCACAAGTTCCTCCTCCACCCTGTACTTTTCACTTCTCATAGGTATCTTTTCCATGCCTTGGATGTGGGGAGGGAGGGGAAGACTGAGACTGGGACTGGGACCATGATACTGGCTTTGGATTTTGGGTACCAGCCTCATATGGTGGCAGAGCTCTGGAGGCTGAAGACAGGTGCCAGGTCTCTTAACCCCATTATTTCTGCTGAGGGCACTACTTTTCCTGCCCGCTGATGTCATGCACAATTCTCTCCTCTCTTGCCTACTTTAGTTGCATCATACTCTCTTATTTTTGGCTACTACAACAGAATAGGAATAAGTAGCAGTCTTATGGCATTTCTTCTTTCAGGCATCTAAGCTAGAACGGTAGCTCTGGATATTAAAACAAAAATACTTGTCTGTGACTTCACTTCCATAGATGTGTTTACATTCATATATATGTGTGTATCTATTTATCTATCTATACACAGAGGTGAAAATATTTGCATATTTAGATCTCACCTTTCTTGGACATCTTCTTGGTCAACTTGTATTGTGTAGTCAGATAAAATTTCACTAGAAGAAGAAAACAAAACATATGATCAGACATTGCTTGATTTCCTAGACTTGATATTTAGTTCTAATTAGATGTAGTTTAACTTAGAATTTTGTACACATTTTTAAAAAAATGTATTGTCAACATGATGTACAGAGGAGTTACAGTAAGTAAGGCTGTGAGTTCAACTTGCTGTACCCTTCCTCATTTTTTCCCACTTTCCCTCCCCCAATTGTACAGATCACTTCCAACAGACTGCCTTGTGAGTGTTGCTGCTGCATTAGTTCCCCCTTTGTCCTTTGTCTCACCATTTTGTTGTTCCCTTTCTTTACCTAATTCAGATAAACATATATACAATATCCAGGGTATCAAAAATCAAATATGTGAAAATAAGGGATAAACCATAGGGAGGAAAAAAAACACAAAAGAAACAAGAAATGATTAAAAACAACAACAAAGAAAACCCTCTGTGTCCATGTCTTGGGAGTTTATTTCACTTAGCACCATCTTATATGTTCACATGTAAACAGCTTTTGAGCTACTCTGCTTATCTGCTAGGATTATCCTAGACATATACTAATTATTACAAATGAGAGAAACCCTAAGACCTATGTTTTTTTGGACCTGGCTTACTTAATATGATTTTTTCCAAGACTTTCCACTTCCTTACAAATGGGGCAGTGTCATTCTTTCTGATGGAAGCATAGAATTCCATTGTATGTATGTGTGTGTTTATATATAAACACATACATATATAAATATACATATACACATATGTATATTTATCTCACATTTAATCAATCCCTTCATCTACTGAGGAGGATGTGGGTTGGTTCCAAATCTTAGCTATGGCAAATAATGCTGTGATAACATAGTTGTGCTGGTAGCTTTAGAATGGCCTTGTTTGTGGTCATCTGGGTAAATGCCCAGAAATGGGATTGCTGGGTCATAGAGGAGCTCTATGTTTAGTCTTTTTTTTATGTTTAGTCTTTTCTGGAACCTCCATACTGCTTTTTAGAGTGACTGAACAAGTTTATACTCCCACCAACAGTATAGTAGCATTCCTTTTTTTTTTTGGCTACATCCCCTCCAGCACCTGTTGTTATTGGATTTCTTGATTATAGCCATTCTAACTGGGGTGAGGTGGAATCTCGATGTTGTCTTGATTTGCATTTCATTTATGGCCAGAAATAAGCATTTCTCCATGTTGTCTATTGGTCATTCTTATTTCCTCTTCAGAGAAGCCTCTCTTTAAGTCTTTAGCACACTTATTAATAGGGCAGTTGTTTCTTTGAGCATTTGTCTTGGGGGATTTAAAATGTTGAGTTCTAACTATATTAGATATGAGGCCCTTGTCTGTAGTGTGGCTAGTGAAGATCTTCTATTGAAGATCTATTGTAGGCTTTCTATTGATCTTGCTAGCTATGTCATTTGACATTCAGAAGTGCTGCAGTTTAATGCAATCCCATTTGTCCATCCATTCTTCAATTTATTGTGTTTCTGGGGCTTTATTAAGAAAATATAAGCCTGTACCAAGGACCCCTAAAGTTTCTCCTAATCCTTCCTGTATTTTTTTCAGGGTGTCTGCTCTTACCTTGAGGTCTTCTGATCTTTAAAAATTTAATTTAAAATACAAATTCAAACATGTCAGCAAAGTGAATGACTTGAGTTCTGGTCTTTATTACTGAACCTAATTCCAATGTGTAACAGTATTTTATAACTGAATTGATTTCAAGTCAATCCATTATATATATATATGCATATATATAATATATATATATATATATGTATTCCTCTCTTATTTCTTCAATAACCCCAAATCAGTCTAAACCATTTTGTTCTATTACTATGTAGCTCAACATTTTCTGCAGTTAATTTTGATGCCTATATCTAGTTTAATTTCATGGTGGTATGATAAAATTCAGGAGTATAATATGTTCTTATATTTGTTAAGTCTACATTTGTATAATTACTATAGAGTAATGGGGAGAGAGAGAGACTGAGAGAGAGAGCAGAAACAAAAAGAAGTAAAAAGAAAATAATACTGCATTTATGCCCTAGAATATTATTTACTTTGGAAAAAGTTTCATGGGTTGCTGGGATCATGTAAATGTACATTTACATTTGCTAAATTTCCATTTCTTAGAAAATCTTTTCCATTCTTCCATTTTAACTGTGTTTGTCATTGCTAGTGAGGTATATTTACTTCCTTTGATCTTTCTTTTCTTCCTTCTTTCCTTTGTTCTGTCACTTCTTTCTTTTTGTGTTTATATGATGGGCACTCTCAGTCTTTTCACTCAAGACTGATGCTCCACCACTTGAGTAACACATTTGGCTTTTGGAAGCTAACTAGAGATGTAACAATCTCATAGACTTTCCTTTCTAGGCTGTGTTTCAATCACAATCATCAGATCTCAGCCCCTTGATTAGTTAAAATTACAGGTGTGAGACACTAGTGTCCAGCTTCTTTGTTTGCAAAAATAAGTAATAGACTCATTGAGATGCTTGGTATGTATAAGCCTATAGATTGAATAATCAGTACCCCAATATATAAGTACAAAAAGAAACAAAAAGTGTCTTGGGTGGATCTTCTGACTTCTGGAATTTATCACTTTATTGAATATGAATCTCCCCTAGGGAGACACTGGAAGTTCCTTGAAAAAGAGAAGCAAGCTAAACTATAATCTAGTAGATGGAAACAAATAATTAAAATTAAATCAGAATTAAATGAATTAGAATACAAAATGACCATAGAAAGAATCAACAAAACAAAAACATTAACAAAATTTACAAACCCTTAGCAAATCTTATCAGCAAAAGAATAGAACACACCCAAATAAACAAACTCAGACATGAGAATCGAAGCATCACCAAAGAAACAACCAAAATTCAGAACATTATAAGGGAATACTTCTCAAACCTTTATGCTAGTAAGTTTGAGACTGTGGAAGAAATGGATAATTTTCTAGCAAATATCAACATGCCGAAATGAAACCAAGATAATTTAAATAAATTTAACAGACCCATATCCAGCATTGAAATAGAAACAGCAATAAGACACCTCCCACCCAAGAAAAGCCCAGGATTTACAGTTGAATTCTACAAGGCCTTCAAAACGGAACTCACACCAATACTCCTCCAACTCTTCAATGAAATTGAAAGTGAAAGTTCACTACCAAACTCTTTCTATGAAGCCATTCTAAACCTCTGCCCACCAGGCAGAGACTCATCAAAGAAAGAGAACTATAGACTCATTTCTTTAATGAACATATGCAGGCGTAGGATATATCTAGCAAAATCATAGAAATCCCGGATCGGGAGAAGATCTTCACTAGCCATACAACAGACAAGGGTTTCATATCTAAAATATACTTAGAACCCAAAAAATTAAATCCTCCAACAACAAATCCTCAAAGAAACAACTGCCCAATAAATAAGTGGGGTAAAGACTTAAAGAGAAACTTCTCTGAAGAGGAAAAAAGAATGGCCAATAGACACATGAAGAAATGCTTAACTTCTGTAGTCATAAAAGAAGTGAAAATCAAAATAACATTGAGATTCCATCTCACCCAAGTTAGAATGGCTATAACAAAGAAATCCAATAACAACATATGCTGGAGGGGATGTTGTCAAAAGCGAACCCTACTGCATTGTTGGTGGGAGTGTAAACTTGTTCAACCACTTTTGAAAGCATACAGAGGTTCCTCAAAAGACTCCACATAGAGCTCCCCTATGACCCAGCAATCCCACTTTTGGGCATTTACCCAAATAATAACAAACAAAGCTATAGTAAGGCGACCAGCACAACTATGTTTATCACAGCATTATTTACCATAGCTAAGATATGGAACCAACCCAGATGCCCCTCAGTAGATGAGTGGATCAAGAAAATGTAATATGTATACATATATACATATAATATATATATATATATATATTTGAATTCTATGCCTCCATCAGAAAGAATGACATCACCCCATTTGTTAGGAAATGGAAAGACTTGCAAAAAGTTATATTAAGTGAAGTAAGTCAAGACCAAAGATACATAGGTCCCATGATTTCCCTTATTTGTAATAACTAGTACATGTTTAGGACAAGAACAAAAGTTCAAAAGCTATGTACATATGACCATATAAGATGATGTTAAGCGACCACAAGACACTATATTGGAAATGAACTTTACAACTTGTGTGGGGGGGTGAGAAGTGAGGGAGATGGAGGAGGGAAGGGATAATGGGAGAATCACAAGGGAGGCGGTAACAATGCTGGACAAGAAATGTACTCATTGCCTTACTCATGTAACTGTAACCCCTCTGTACAGCATCTTCACAATAAAATAAAATTTAAAGAAAAAAAAAAGATGATGTTAAGCGAAATGAATACCAAAATAATAATACAAGTGGTTTTATTCTTTCTTGATATTATTTTTTAATGTACTTTAAATATACTATGTGATTTTTAAATTTCTTTTGTATGTTCTTTCCCCAAGGTATAACCCCTGTTTTCACTGTATTTGATTCTTTTCTGGTGCCCTACATCTTGCATATACAATTTTATAATTTGGAGAGGAAAAGGGAAATAAGAAAATGCTTAAATAAGGATTCAGGTTGACCCATTCAAACAATGAGATGTACAAGACTCTATGTTGAAAATGAACTTTACAGTTTCTGAGGGGGTAGGGAGAGGGAGGAGTTGGGGTAGTGGCCAGGAAAGTGATGGTAGGGAAAAAACAAAGCAGGAGCTAAACAAGACTCCATAGGAAATATACTTATCATCTTACTCATGTAACTGTAAACCCTCTGTACAGTATATTTTATAATAAAAATATATTAAAAAAAGAAGAAAAAAGAGTTAACACAGCAACCATGAAAAAAAAAGCAGAAGAGGGACTTGGTAGAATGCTTGCCTAGCATGCATGAATCCCTGGGTACATTGCTTAGTACCGCATAAATAGAAAACATTGGAGTTGGTACTGTGGATCAAGAGGTAGACTGCTAGCCTTGAGCAAAAGAAGCTTGGGGACAGTGCCCAGGACCAGAGAGTTGCATCCATAGAAATGTCCCCCAAAATACAGCAGAATAGATACAAGTCTCCAAATTTATCCATGACCAAAACAACACACAAACACAATATTCAAACACACACAGACATACACACACAGAGAGACAAATGTTAATCATTGCCATTTGGAAGGTACTTTGCTTATAATAATCTTACTACAGTCAATCAAAACATCTACTACTCATTCCAATAGGATCTCATACAAAGGCTGATAGCTTTCTAAGGGTTTTCTTATGAGCTCACTAAATAAGCAAGGAGTTTGTCTTCTGACTGGGTTCTCATTCCTTCACCTAACTTGAAAAAGAGAGGAATATTACAGATATAAGATAGACTACCCACATTTTTTATATACTTCGCAGAAATTCTTGCTTAATACATATTTATATTTGTATTCACATATGTATTATATATATATATAAACACAAAAACATATATATGTATATATATATATGGATGCATGCATCTGATCTTTTGATGACATATTCAGTGTGAATTCTATTGGTTCATTTATATCCACATTAATCACATACATTATGCAAATCAAATATGAGGTAAATTCATACTGTTACTTCTTCACTCAAGTTGGCTATGGTTCTCCTAAAATTAACAAACTGGTAGAACTTGAAAGTTTTATATACCTAGTAATAAGAAAAGGGGTATTCCCAGTTATCTTGAGAAACAAGGTGTCTAGGGCAAAGTAAATGTACACACCTGTAAAAGAAATGCTTCATGGCAGATTAAAGACTATTTCCTTTCTAGGCCAGGTGCATGTAGCTCACACATACAATCATAGCTGGTCAGGTGGCTGAGAAATTAGGGTCTCAGTTTGCAGTCAGCCCAGAGAGGAAAGTCCTTGAGACTCTGTGTGTCTGTTTGCGTGTACGTGTATATGCGTGTCCATGCCTGTGTGTTAGTGTATATATGTGTGTGCGCACACAAAAAATATACACCAACATATACACACACACATAAATGCATACACACACTGGTCCTGGAGTTAGAATTAAGGACCTGGACATTGTCCCTGAGCTTCTTTTGCTCCAGGCTAGACCTCTACCTCTTGAGCCACAAAGCCACTTCTGGCTTGTTCGGAATAGTTTATTGGAAATAAGAGTCTCATGTACTTTTCTGACTGGGCTGGCTGAAAACCATGATCCTCAGAGCTCAGCCTCCTGAGTAGCTAGGATTACAGGCATAAGCTACTAGCAGCCAGCTCCTAAGACATTTATCTGCTATAAAGTATTCAGAAAACAACAGAAGTGGACCTGTATCTCAGGGGGTAGGGCACTAGCCTTAGCAAAATACTCTCAAAGTCTGCACCCTGGCTCTGAGTTCAAGCCCAAAGACTGAAACAAAATCATCATCATCATCATCATCATCATCATCATCAACATAACTGTAAGCTCAGGTCTGCACCCCGGCTTTGAGTTCCTGCACAAAGAGTGGAACAAATTAATAAAAACAATAATAATGATAGTAATGATGATGATGATGATGATGATGAAAGCGACAATAATGCAGAGAATTAGAGGATGAGTCCCCATGTTATAAAATTGTGGATAAACCGCAAAATAGGAAAAAGTGGTTCGAAAAGATTATTTTTTACAGGCCAGAAAAAGAGCCATAACAAAAGCATTTTGACATGAGACTTCAATCCCCTAGGACTGTGGAATGACTTGTGAGTGCATAAGCTATTTTGTTTGTGATAATTTAGTAAAGTCATAAAACATATATATTGTCCATTCAAGTAGGGTCTCATACACAGGCTATCTGATAGCTTGCTAGGAGTTTTACTCACTGCTCACTAAAATAGCACTGAGGCTGTCTTCTGACTGGTTTCTCATTTGTTCACCTAACTTGGAAAACTGGGAATATTATGGACAAAGCTGTAATGCCCAATCTTTTGATACACCTCCCAGAAATTCTGGCTTAATACCTGTATATTTTTAGGTACATATATATGCATATATATATGTGTGTGTACATATAAATGAACCTCACCTTTTACTGGCATCTTCAAATATAAAACCTTCTGATTTATTATCCTCCAGGCTAAAGGATTAAATTATACACAGTCAAATATCAGGCAAATATATTTACATTTTCATCCAAATTAGCCACAATTTACTAATAAAGTGGTAGAACTTGAAAGTTTTACATTTTTAGTTATATAAAAAGGAGTATTTGTCTTTCCCTCAAAATGAGGGTGTGAGGGGAAATCACATGTTTAGACCTGCTAAACAAAGGTTTCAGGAAAGATTTGAGAATAGTTCCTTACTAGGCCAAGTGTCTGTGCTCAGAGATAAAATCCTAGCCTCTAAAGAGATTTGGATGTGAGGATCATGGTTTGTAGCCATACTGGACAGAAAAGTCCATGAGACTCATGTCTCCAACTAGCTACCAAACACACTGGAAACGGAATTGTGGATCAGGGACTAGAGTGCTAGACTTGAGCAAAACACACTCAGGAACATGGCTCAGACCCGAATCTCAAGCCCAATGACTAGCACATTGAAATACAGAATAATTCTATTCTTATAAACATAACAAAAGTTTAATGTCCTACTGTTGTTGAAACAATTTTAAATCCAGCTTAATTTACAATAACTCAACCCTCAATCTAATTTTCCATCTAATTTTCTGCTTCCTTTTTCTTCTCTATTCCCTCCTTCATAAAGCAATCATGTCAGTCTTTCGTGCCAGATAGGAACAATGAACAGCAGGCTAGAAGCAAGACTCCCATCCAATGTGATGGTGGTTCTTTCAGGGTAATTGAGTTTTGGAGAATGAAGAATTGGTCTAAGGTAAATGATTCTCCTATCTACTGAGATCTACAGAACACTGGGACTGCCTCCGTGTTTCTGAGAGGAATTCTTACATCCCTGGGCTCTTTATGAGTCGCATATATGCATGTTGATACTCTGACTAAGGATTGTGCCTGCCAGTCTTTGAATTCACAGCAGACCATGACCAAGTCTCTTTTGACCTGCTCTAGCATTTTCTATTTAGTTGCAAAACTGACTATTATTACAGACAGTTTTTGATAGGTTATCATGTGTTCTGTTGATTGTCATCATACCCCTCAAAATGGTTTACCATGCAGAAGACAAAAGAAAACAACTCACTCAGTAGTCACATTGCTACTAGAATCGATGAAAACATCCGGTATGGCATTTGTGTCACTGTGAACAAATGAAAAACAAACATAAGATTATGTTGGACTGCGTATAAGAAACAGTACTTTTTTTTTTTTTTTTTTTTTTTTGGGTCTGGTCCTGGGGCCTGAACTCTGGGCCTGGGCGCTGTCCCTCAGCTCTTCAGCTCAAGGCTAGCGCTCTACCACTTGAGCTATAGCACCACTTCCAGCTTTTTTCTTTTTGCTTATGTGGTGCTGAGGAATGGAACCCAGGGCCTCAGGCGTGCAAGGCAAGCGCTCTACCACTGAGCCACCTTCGCAGCCCCAAGAAATGGTACTTTTTTTTTTTTTTTTTTTTTTACTACATACAGTGCTGACTAATGAAACCATGGCGTTGTGCACACTAGGCAAGTGATTAGCCACTTGAGCTAAATCTCCAGCTCTTCTGCCCTCACCATGACCTCTCTCAAACACTGAGGTTTGAACTCAGATCACCATACTTGAGCTAAGTGCTCAATTTAGAGTCATGCTTTTGTCTGTACTGGCTTACTCAGTGATCTCCCTGTTTGGGTTCAGGATAATCTGCGAATTTTGTTCCTGCTAGTTAACTGCTCAATATAGACTCACACTTTTGCCTCTACTTGCTTATTCAATGATCTCTCTGTCTGTGCTTTCATCGCAATCTGGGATGGATGGGCATGCGACTGTCTCACACCTATACTCCTGTCTACTCAGAGGCTTTGACTGAGGATATAATTTGAAACCACCTAGAGTGGGAATGCCTATGAGTCCATCTCCAGTTAACCAGGAAAATTTTGTTTGCGAAGAGTACTTCAAGAGTTCCATTAACCATAAGCAAGAAAGCAAAATAGGCACAAGGCTCTGAATTTTAGCCATAACACACACACACACACACAGGTTAATCATTGTCATTTGGAAGGCACTTTGCTTATAATAATCTTATTACAGTCCATCAATACATATACTACTCATTCTCATAGGATCTCATACAAAGGCGATAGCTTTCTAAGGGTTTTCTTATGAGCTCACTAAAATAGCAAGGAGTTTGTCTTCTGACTGGCTTCTCATTCCTTCACCTAACTTGGAAAAGAGAAGAATATTACAGATATACGACACACTGCCCACCTTTTTTATATAGTGCCCCGAAATTCGGGTTTAATATCTGTGTATCTTTGTATTCATGTATGTATGTATAGGTACATGCACACACATACACACATACATATATGAGTGCATGCATCTGATCTTTTGCTGATATCTTCCAGTGTGAGCTCTATTAGTTTGTTTATATACACATTAAACAATTATATTATGCAAAGTCAAATATAAGGTAAATTCATACCCTTACTTCTTCACTCAAGTTATCTACAATTCTCCTAAAATTAATAAACTGGTAGAACTTTTATATACCTAGTAATAAGAAAAGGGATATTTCCAGTTATCTTGAGAAACAAAGTGTCTTGGGGAATGTAAATGTACACATCTGCAAAAGAAATGCTTCACAGCAGATTTAAGACTATTTCTTTCTTAGGCCAGGTGCACATAGCTCACACATATAATCATAGCTGACCAGGAGGCTGAGAAATGAGGGTCTCAGTTTGAAGCGAGCCCAGGGAAGAAAGTTCCTGATGCTGTGTGTGTGTGTGTGTGTGTGTGTGTGTGTGTGTGTGTTTCTGTTGGTGTGTATATGTGTGCTGAGGTTATAACCCAAGGCCTGGACACTGTCCCTGAGCTTCTTTTGCTCCTGGCTAGACCTCTACCTCTTGAGCCACAAAGCCACTTCCAGCTTTTTCTGAATAGTTTATTAGAAATAAAAGTCTCATGTACTTTTCTGCCTGGGCTGGCTTAAAACCATGATCCTCAGAGCTCAGCCTTCTGAGTAGCTAGGATTACAGGCATGAGCCACTAGCAGCCAGCTCCTAAGACTTTTATCTGCTATAAACAACTCAGAAAAGAACAGAACTGGACCTATGTCTCAAGGGGTAAGGCACTAGACTTGAGCAAAATATGCTCAAGGTCTATGCCCTGGCTCTGAGTTCATGCCTGAAGACTGAAAAAAAATCATAATCATAACTGTAAGCTCAAGGTCTGTACACCAGCTCTGAGTTCAAGCCTGAAGACTGGAACAATATATAATGATGATGATGATGATCATGATGATGATCATGATGATAATAATGATAGTGATAATGATGATGATGATGAAGATGATGTCGACGACAATGATGTAGAGAATTAGAGAATGAGTTACCATGTTATACAATTGTGGATAAACCGCAAAATAGGAAAAAGTAGTTCGAAAAGATTATTTTTTACAGGCCAGAAAAAGCTACTTTGACATAAGACTTCTATCCCCAAGGACTGTGGAATAATTTGTAAGCGCATGAGCAATTTTGTTTGTGATAATTTGTTAGTAAAGTAATAAAACACATGTACTGTCAGTTCAAATAGGGGCTCATCCACAGGCTATCTGATAGCTTGCTAGGAGTTTTACTCACTGCTCACTAAAATAGCACTGAGACTGTCTTCTGACTGGTTTCTCATTCACTCACCTAACTTGGAAAACTGAGAACATTACAGACAAAGCTGTAATGCCCAATCTTTTGATACATCTCCCAGAAATTCTGGCTTAATACCTGTGTATCTTTATGTGTATATACATATAGGAACGAATCTCACCTTTTATTGGCATCTCCAAGTATAACACCTCCTGCTTTATCCTCCAGGCTGAAGGATTAAATTATATATAGTCAAATATCAGGCAAATATATTTATATTTTCATCCAAATTAGCCACAATTTACTAATAAAGTGGTAGAACTTGAAAGTTTTATATTTTTAGTTATATAAAAAGAAGTATTTGTCTTTCCCTCAAAATGAGGGTGTGAGGGGAAATCACATGTTTAGACCTGCTAAACAAAGGTTTCAGGAAAGATTTGAGAATAGTTCCTTACTAGGCCAAGTGTCTGTGCTCAGAGATAAAATCCTAGCCTCTCAAGAGATTTGGATGTGAGGATCATGGTTTGTAGCCATACTGGACAGAAAAGTCCATGAGACTCATGTCTCCAACTAGCTACCAAACACACTGGAAACGGAATTGTGGATCAGGGACTAGAGTGCTAGACTTGAGCAAAACACACTCAGGAACATGGCTCAGACCCTAATCTCAAGCCCAATGACTGGCACATTGAAATAAAGAATAATTCTATTCTAATAAACATAACAAAAGTTTAATGTCCAATGGTTTTTGAACTATTTTAAATCCAGCTTAATTTACAATAACTCAACCCTCAATCTAATTTTCCATCTAATTTTCTGCTTCCTTTGTCTTCTCTATTCCCTCCTTCATAAAGCAATCATGTCAGTCTTTCATGCCTGTCAGATAGGAACAAAGAACAGCAGGCTAGAAGCAGGACTCCCATCCAATGTGATGGTGGGCCTTTCAGGGTAATTGAGATCTAGAGAATAAAGAATTGGTCTAGGGTAGATGGTTCTCCTACCTACTGAGATCTACAGAACACTGGGACTGCCTCCGTGTTTCTGAGAGGAATTCTTACATCCCTGGGCTCTTTATGAGTTGCCTACATGCATGTTGATACTCTGACTAAGGATTGTGCCTTCAAGTCTTTGAATTCACAGCAGACCATGACCAAGTCTCTTTTGACCTGCTCTAGCATTTTCTATTTAGTTGCAAAACTGAAGATTATTATAGACACTTTTTGATAGGTCATCATGTATTCTGTTGATTGTCATCATACTCCAAAAAAATAGTTTACCATGCAGAAGACAAAAGAAAATAACTCACTCAGTAGTTACGTTGTTACCAGAATGGATGACAACATCTGGTATGGAATCTGTGTCACTGTGAACAAATGAAAAACAAACATAAGATTATGTTGGACTGTGTATAAGAAATGGTACTTTTTTTTTTTTTTTTTACTACATACAGTGCTGACTAATGAAACCATGGCGTTGTGCACACTAGGCAAGTGATTAGCCACTTGAGCTACATCTCCAGCTCTTCTGCTCTCACCAGGACCTCTCCCAAACACTGAGGTTTGAACTCAGATCACCATACTTGAGCTAAGTGCTCAATTTAGAGTCATGCTTTTGTCTGTACTGGCTTACTCAGTGATCTCCCTGTTTGGGTTCAGTATAATCTGGGAACCTGGTTCCTGCATGTTAAGTGCTCAATTTAGACTCACACTTTTGTCTCTACTTGCTTATTCAATGATCTCCCTGCTTGTGCTTTCATCATAATCTGGGATGGATGGGCATGCGACTGTCTCACATTTATAAACCTATCTACTCAGAGGCTGAGTCTGGGAATGCCTACGAGAGTCTATCTCCAATTAACCTAGAAAATGCTGGGCTCAAAGAATAGTTCAAGAGTTCCATCAACCATAAGCAAAAAAGCAAACTAGGCACAAGGCTCTGAGTTTTAGCCATAACAGACAGACAGACACACACACACACACACACACACACAAACACACACAAACATGCAGACACACATTAATCTTTGTCATTTGGAAGGTACTTTGCTTATAATAATCTTATTACAGTCCATCAAAACATATACTACTTATTCCTATCAGATCTCAAATAAAGGCTCATAGCTTTCTAAGGGTCTTCTTATGAGCTCACTAAAATAGCAAGGAGTTTGTCTTCTGACTGGCTTCTCATTCCTTCACCTAACTTGGAAAAGAGAGGAATATTACAGATATACGACACACTGCCCACCTTTTTTATATAGTGCCCCGAAATTCTGGCTTAATATCTGTGTATCTTTGTATTCATGTATGTATGTATAGGTACATGCACACACATACACACATACATATATGAGTGCATGCATCTGATCTTTTGCCGACATCTTCCAGTGTGAGCTCTATTGATTTGTTTATATACACATTAAACAATTATATTATGCAAAGTCAAATATGAGGTAAATTCATACCCTTACTTCTTCACTCAAGTTATCTACAATTCTCCTAAAATTAATAAACTGGTAGAACTTTTATATACCTAGTAATAAGAAAAGGGTTATTTCCAGTTATCTTGAGAAACAAAGTGTCTTGGGGAATGTAAATGTACACATCTGCAAAAGAAATGCTTCACAGCAGATTTAAGACTATTTCTTTCTTAGGCCAGGTGCACATAGCTCACTCATATAATCATAGCTGACCAGGAGGCTGAGAAATGAGGGTCTCAGTTTGAAGTCAGCTCAGGGGGGAAAGTCCCTGATGCTCTTGTGTGTGTGTGTGTGTGTGTGTGTGTGTGTGTGTGTGTGTGTGTGTGTGGTGTGTGGTTTGTGTGTTTGTATCCTAGGGTTACAACCCAGGGCCTGGACACTGTCCCTGAGCTCCTTGCTCCTGGCTAGACCTCTACCTCTTGAGCCACAAAGCCACTTCCAGCTTTTACTGAATAGTTTATTGGAAATAAGAGTCTCATGTACTTTTCTGCCTGGGCTGGCTTAAAACCATGATCCTCAGAGCTCAGCCTCCTGAGCAGCTAGGATTACAGGCATGAGCTACTAGCATCCAGCTCTTAAGAATTTAATCTACTATAAACAACTCAGAAAACAACAGAAGTGGACCTGTGTCTCAAGGGATAAGGTACTTGCCTTGAGCAAAATACGCTCAAGCTCTGCACCTTGATTCTTAATTCAAATCCGAAGACTGAAACAAAATACTAATAATAATCCTCATAATCATCATAACTGTAAGCTCAAGTTATGCACCTCTGCTCTGAGTTCAAGCCCATGACTGGAACAAATTAATAATAATAATAAGAGTAATAATGATGATGCTGATTATGATAATGACGACAATGATGCAGAGGATTAGAGGATGAGTTCACATGTTAGACAACTGTGGACAACCACAAAACAGGAGAAACTGTTATGAGAGTTCTACTGGGCAGGAAAAGAGCCAACATCAACGGCACTTTGACGTAAAACTTCAATCCCCAAGGACTGTGGAATAAGTTGCAAGTGCATGAGCTATTTTGTTTGTGATAATATGTTAGTAAAGTCATAAAACACATGTACTGTCCATTCAAATAGGGTCTCATACACAGGCAATCTGATAGCTTGCTAGGAGTTTTACTCACTGCTCACTAAAAATAGAACTGAGGCTGTCTTCTGACTGGTTTCTCATTTGTTCACCTAACTTGGAAAACTGGGAACATTACAGACAATGCTGTAATGCCCAATCTTTTGATACATCTCCCAGAAATTCTGGCTTAATACCTGTGTATTTTTATGTATATATACATATAGGAACGAATCTCACCTTTTATCTTCAAATATAACACCTCCTGCTTTAACCTCCAGGCTGAAGGATTAAATTATATATAGTCAAATATCAGGCAAATATATTTACATTTTCATCCAAATTAGCCACAATTTACTAATAAAGTGGTAGAACTTGAAAGTTTTATATTTTTAGTTATATAAAAAGGAGTATTTGTCTTTCCCTCAAAATGAGGGTGTGAGGGGAAATCACATGTTTAGACCTGCTAAACAAAGGTTTCAGGAAAGATTTGAGAATAGTTCCTTACTAGGCCAAGTGTCTGTGCTCAGAGATAAAATCCTAGCCTCTCAAGAGATTTGGATGTGAGGATCATGGTTTGTAGCCATACTGGACAGAAAAGTCCATGAGACTCATGTCTCCAACTAGCTACCAAACACACTGGAAACGGAATTGTGGATCAGGGACTAGAGTGCTAGACTTGAACAAAACACACTCAGGAACATGGCTCAGACCCTAATCTCAAGCCCAATGACTGGCACATTGAAATAAAGAATAATTCTATTCTAATAAACATAACAAAAGTTTAATGTCCAATGGTTTTTGAACTATTTTAAATCCAGCTTAATTTACAATAACTCAACCCTCAATCTAATTTTCCATCTAATTTTCTGCTTCCTTTGTCTTCTCTATTCCCTCCTTCATAAAGCAATCATGTCAGTCTTTCATGCCTGTCAGATAGGAACAAAGAACAGCAGGCTAGAAGCAGGACTCCCATCCAATGTGATGGTGGGCCTTTCAGGGTAATTGAGATCTAGAGAATAAAGAATTGGTCTAGGGTAGATGATTCTCCTACCTACTGAGATCTACAGAACACTGGGACTGCCTCCGTGTTTCTGAGAGGAATTCTTACATCCCTGGGCTCTTTATGAGTCGCATATATGCATGTTGATACTCTGACTAAGGATTGTGCCTGCCAGTCTTTGAATTCACAGCAGACCATGACCAAGTCTCTTTTGACCTGCTCTAGCATTTTCTATTTAGTTGCAAAACTGAAGATTATTATAGACACTTTTTGATAGGTCATCATGTATTCTGTTGATTGTCATCATACTCCAAAAAAATAGTTTACCATGCAGAAGACAAAAGAAAATAACTCACTCAGTAGTTACGTTGTTACCAGAATGGATGACAACATCTGGTATGGAATCTGTGTCACTGTGAACAAATGAAAAACAAACAGAAAATTAAGTTGCACTATGTATAAGAAAACGCACTTTTGTTAATCAAAGTGCTGACTATTGACATCAAGGTCTGTGCAGACTAAGCAAGTGCTCAGTTACTTGAGCTACATCACCAGATCTTCTGCCCATACCACAACATCTCTCAAATACTGAGGTTTGAACTCAGATCACTGTACTTGCTCAATGTAGAGTCATGCCTTTGTCTGAACTGGCTTACTCAATGATCTCCCTGTTTGGGTTCAGTATAATCTGGGAACCCTGTTCCTGCCAGTTAAGTGCTCAGTTTAGACTCACCCTTTTGTCTCTACTTGCTTATTGTGCTTTCATCATAATCTGGGATGAATGGGCAAGCTACTGTCTCACATTTATAATATTATCTACTAAGAGGCTGATTCTGAGGATAGTAATTTGAAACCACCTAGAGTGAGAATGCCTATGAGTGTTCATCTCCAGTTAACCAGCAAAATGCTGGACTCAAAGAGTAGTTCAAGAGTTCCACCAACCATAAGCAAGAAAGCAAAATAGGCACAAGGCTCTGAGTTTTAGCCATAACAGACAGACACACACACACAACCACATATACCCATGCAGACACACATTAGTCTTTGTCATTTGGAAAGTACTTTGCTCATGATAATCTTACTAGAGTCTTTCAATACATATACTACTCATTCCAACAGGATCTCATACAAAGGCTGATAGCTTTGTCAGGGTTTTCTTCTTTGCTCACTAAAATAGCAAGGAGTTTGTCTTCTGACTGGATTCTCATTCCTTCACCTAACTTGGAAAGGAGAGGAATATTACAGATATAAGATACACTGACCACCTTTTTGATATAGTTCCCAATAATTTTGGCTTTATATCTCTGTATCTTTGTATTCAAGTATGTATGTATGTATGTATGCATGTATGCATGTATATATACACACAAATATATATATGCATGCATCTGATCTTCCAGTGTGAATTCTATTGGTTCCTTTATATCCACATTAAACAATTAAACAATTATATTATGCAAAGTCAAATATGGGGTAAATTCCTACCCTTACTTCTTCACTCATTAGCTACAATTCTCCTAAAGTTAATAAACTGGTAGAAATTGCAAGTTTTATATACCTAGTAATAAAGAGTATTTCCAATTATCTTGACAAACAAGGTGTGTCAGGCAAAGTAAATGTACATACCTGCAAAAGAAATGCTTCATGGCAGATTTAAGACTATTTCTTTCCTAGGCCAAGTGCATGTAGCTCACACATATAATCATAGCTGGTCAGGAGGTTGAGAAACAAGGGTCTCAGCTTGAAGTCAGCCCAGTGAGGTACCTGAGACTCTGTGTTTGCATGTATGTGTGTGTGTGTGTATGTCTCAACAATCCCGCAAACACACATGCATACACACGCACATATACATGCCGGTCCTAGGGTTACAACTCAGGGCCTGGACACTATCCCTGAGCTTCTTTTGCTCCTAGCTAGACCTCTACCTTTTGAGCCACAAAGCCACTTCCGGCTTTTTCTGAATAGTTTATTAGAAATAAGAGTCTCATTTACTTTTCTGCCTGGGCTGGCTTAAAACCATGATCCTCAGAGCTCAGCCTCCTGAGTGGCTAGGATTACAGGCATGAGCTACTAGCAGCCAGCTCCTAAGACTTTTATCTGCTATAAACAACTCAGAAAACAACAGAAGTAGACCTGTGTCGCAAGGGGTAGGGCACTAGCCCCTTGAGCAAAATACGCTCAAGGTCTGCACCCTGGCTCTGAGTTCAAGCCTGAAGATTGAACAAAATAATAACAGTAAACTTAAGGACTGTACCCCGGCTCTGAGTACAACCAAAAGATTAGAAACAACAATAATAATGAGAGTAATAGTGATGATGATGATGATGATGATGATGATGATGATGATAATGATGATGATGATGATGAAGACGATGATGCAGTGAATTAGAGGATGAGTCCCCATGCTATACAATTGTGGACAAACAGAAAAATAGGAAAAAAGGGTATGAAGAGATTATTTTTTACAGGCAAGAAAAGAGCCAACACCAATGGCACTTTGACATAAGAATTCTATCCCCCAGGACTGTGGAATAAGTTGAAAGTGCATGAGCTATTTTGTTTGTAATAATTTGTTAGTAAAGTAATAAAACACATGTACTGTCCATTCAAATAAGGACGCAGACACAGGCTACCTGATAGCTTGCTAGGAGTTTTACTCACTGCTCACTAAAATAGCACTGAGACTGTCTTCTGACTGGCTTCTCACTCATTCACCTAACTTGGAAAACTGGGAACATTACAGACAAAGCTGTAATACCCAATCTTTTGATACATCTCCCAGAAATTCTGGCTTAATACCTGTGTATCTTTACGTACATGTATATATTCATATAGGAATGCATCTCACCTTACACTAACATCTTCAAGTATAAGATCTCCTACTTTATTCATTTTCATGCTAAAAGAATTAAATTATACACAGTCAAATATCAAGCAAATACATTTACATTTTCATCCAACTTAGCTACAATTTACTTAAAACTAATAAATTGGTAGAACTTGAAAGTTTTACATATTAGTTATATAAAAAGAAGTATTTGTCTTTCCCTCAAAATGAGGGTGTGAGGGGAAATCACATGTTTATACCTGCTAAACAAAGGTTTCAGGAAAGATTTGAGAATAGTTCCTTACTAGCTCAAGTGTTTGTATAATCCTACCCTTTCAAAAGATTGAGATCTGAGGATCATAGTTTTAACCATACTGGACAGAAAAGTCCATGATACTCAAACACACTGGAAGTGGAGTTGTGGATTGGGGACTACAGTGCTAGACTTGAGCAAAACACACTCAGGAACACGGCTCAGACCCTAATCTCAAGCCCAATGACTGGCACACTGAAAATAATTCTATTCTTTTTTTTTTTTAATTGTAAAGATACTATACAGAGGGTTACAGTTACATGAGTGAGGTTATGAGTACACTTCCTCTTGAACATTGTTACCCCCTCCATTGTTTTCCCCCTACCATCCCCTCCCTCCCTCCCTTCCCCGAGGTTCTTTTTTTTTTTTTGATTGTGATTAAGTGATTACATAATTTCAAAGTCACAAGTTCATTCTAACTTTCCTGGAGCAAATTGTCTATCACAGTCTGTAATATATAACAGTGTTCACATGTTATATACCATGTTTGTGATCAGCAGCATGGGGATATTTAGTAGTGGTTCAACCAGATGAGCGGGAGTTCTTTGTTTCTTAAGTCCTGTTAGTTTTGTCGTATCACCTAACATTTTGAATTTAGCATCCACTTATCAGGGAGACCATTTACTGTTTGTCTCTTCGTTCTTGGCTTACCTCGCTCAACATGATTCCTTCTAGCTCCATCCATTTCCCTGCAAATGCCATTATTTTGTCATTTCTAATGGCTGCATAATATTCCATTGTGTATAGATACCACAATTTTTGGATCCATTCATCTGTGGTGGGGCATCTAGGTTGTTTCCATATCCTAGCTATTGCGAACAGTGCTGCAATAAACATGGAGGTGCACGTGTCCTTGTATATTGGTTCCTGTTGTTCAGGGTAGATGCCTAGAAGTGGTATGACTGGGTCGTAAAAGAGGTCAATCTTTAGCTTTCTAAGGACCCTCCAGACTGCTTTCCAAAGTGGTTGTATAAGTGTACATTCCCACCAGCAGTGTAATAGGGTTCCTCTTTCTCCACATCCCCTCCAGCATTTGTCGTTGGCTGATTTGTGGATGTGGGACATTCTGACTGGGGTAAGGTGGTATCTCAGGGTTGTCTTTATTTGCATTTCCTTCACCACCAAGGATGATGAACATTTCCTCATGTGTTTCTTTGCCATTTTTATTTCTTCATTTGAGAAGTCCCTCTTTAGTTCCCTTGCCCATTTAGTAATTGGTTTATTAGGTTTGGGAGGGATTAGTTTCTTGAGTTCCCTGTATATACAGGATGTTAACCCCTTGTCTGATATATTGCTGGTAAATATTTTTTCCCAATTAGTTGGTTGTCTTTCTAGCTTAGTTGCGATAGATTTAGCTGTGCAGAAGCTTTTTATTTTAAGGTAGTCCCATTTGTCGAGTCTCTCTCCAACTTGTTGTGACCCTGGGACTCTGTTCAGGAAGTTCCTTCCTGTGCCTATTAGTTTTAAGTGTCTCTCCTACTCTGTCCTGCAGTAGTTTCAGAGATTCAGGTTTAATGTTAAGGTCTTTAATCCATTTTGAGTTGATGTTGGTGCATGGTGATAGGCTGGGGTCCACTTTTAGTTTTCTGCATGTGGCTGCCCAGTTTTCCCAGCACCAGCGGTTGAAGAGGCTGTGTTTCTTCCATTGTATGTCTTTGGCTCCTTTGTCGAATATCAGCTGGCTGTAGGCCTGTGGATTTATATCTGGATCTTCTATTCTGTTCCATTGGTCTTCGGGTCTGTTTTTGTGCCAGTACTATGCTGTCTTTGTGATTATAGCTCTGTAGTAGAGTTTGAAGTTTGGCATGGATAGCCCTCCCATATTGTCTTTATCCCCTAGAATTGTTTTGGCTATTCTAGGTCTTTTGTTGTTCCATATAAATTTTTGGACTGTTTTCTGTATTTCAGTGATGTACGTCATTGGGATTTTAATAGGAATTGCATTGAATTTGTATATTAGTTTTGGAAGTATTACCATCTTTACTATATTAAGTCTGCCTATCAGGAGCATGGGAGGTTTTTCCATTTCCTAGTGTCTTCTGCAATTTCTTTCTTTAACTTTTTATAGTTCTCATTAAATACTTCTTTTACACCTTTGGTTAGGTTAATTCCTAAATATTTTCTTTTTTGGGAGGTTATTGTGAATGGAGTTGCTCCCTTTATTTCCCTCTCTTCCTGTACATTATCAGTGTATAGGAAGGCAACTGATTTTTGTGGGTTTATTTTGTATCCTGCTATTTTGCCGAAGTGACTTATGATTTCTAAAAGTTTGGGGATGGAGTTTTTGGGATCGTGGAGATATAGTATCATGTCGTCTGCAAAAAGGGATTGTTTAACTTCTTCTTTCCCTATGCGGATCCCTTTAATGTCTTTTTCTTGCCTTATTGCCCTGGCTAAGGGTTCTAGGACTATGTTGAAGAGGAGTGGAGACAGTGGGCATACTTGCCTTGTTCCTGATTTTAGGAGGATTGGTTGTAGCTTTTCCCCATTAAGTATAATATTGGCTATTGGTCTGTCATAAATGGCTTTTATTGTTTTTAGAAATGTTCCTTCTATTCCTATTTTCTCCAGAGCTTTTAGCATGAATGAATGTTGAATTTTATCAAAGGCCTTTTCTGCATCTGTGGCGATAATCATGTGATTCTTGACCTTGGCTCTGTTGATATGTTGGATTACATTTATTGACTTAGGTATGTTAAACCATCCCTGTGTCTCTGGAATGAAGCCTACCTGATCATAGTGTATTTTTTTTTTATGTGTTTCTGGATTCTGTTAGCTAGAATCTTGTTAAGGATCTTTGCATCTGTGTTCATCAAGGAAATTGGCCTGTAATTCTCCTTTTTGGTTGGGTCTTTGCCTGGTTTGGGGATGAGTGTGATATTGGCTTCGTAGAATGAGTTTGGGATAGCTCCCTCCTTCTCTGTTTCTCTGAAGAGCTTGAGGAGTATGGGTATTAATTCTTGTTTAAAGGTCTTATAGAATTCTGCTGTGAATCCATCTGGTCCTAGGCTTTTTTTGTTGGAAGACTTTTGATAGCTTCCTGTATCTCATTATAGGATATTGGCTTATTTAATTGGTTAACTTCTTCTTTGCTCAGTTTGGGTAACTTGTATTTCTCTAAAAATGCATCCATTTCTGCCAGATTTTCTTCCTTTAGAGAGTATAGCTTTTGAAAGTAGTCTGTTAGAATTGTTTGGATATCTTGGGTACGTGTTGTGATGTTTCCCGTGGCATCCCTAATCCTATTAATATGGGTTTCCTCTCTTCTTTTTTTAATTAATCTTGCCAACGGGCCATCAATTTTGTTTATTTTTTCAAAGAACCAGCTTTTTGTTTGGTTTATTTTGGTTATGGTTTTCTGATTTTCTAATTGGTTAATCTCTGCTCTCAATTTGGTTATCTGGCTTCGTCTAGTAGCTTTAGGTCCCATTTTTTCTTGTTTTTCTAGCTGTTTTAGTTGCAACATGAGATTATTTACTTGGTCTGTCTCCATTCTCTTGATGTGGGCACTGAGGGCAATAAATTTGCCCCTCAGGACTGCTTTTGCTGTGTCCCACAAGTTTCTTTGTGAGGTGTTTTCATTTTCATTGAGTTGTAGGAAATGCTTTATTTCTTCTCTGATCTCTTCTGTTACTCAGGCCTTGTTAAGGAGTGTGCTGTTCAATTTCCATGTATTAGAGAAATTTCTGCGGTATGCTTTGTTATTGAGAGCTAGCTTGATTCCACTGTGGTCAGATAGGATACAGGGGATTATGTCGATCCCTTTGTATTTGCTTAAGTTCCTTGCATGAACTATGATATGGTCTATTTTGGAGAAAGTTCCATGAGCTGCTGAGAAGAACGTGTACTGTGTTGTTTTAGGGTGAAATACTCGGTAGATGTCAGTTAATTCCACTTGAAGTATGGCCTCACTTAATTCGGTAGCTTCTTTGCCAATCCTCTGGTTGGTAGACCTGTCCTTTGGTGAGAGTGGCGTGTTAAAGTCTCCTAGGATTATCGTATTGGGATCTATTTTATTCTGTAAGTTTGAGAGAATTTGTTTGACATATCTGGGTGCACCAATATTTGGGGCATATAAGTTGATGATGGTTATATCCTCCTCTTGGATTGTTCCCTTTATTAATATGTAGTGTCCGTCCTTGTCTTTCTGTACTGATTTTAATGAAAAGTTTATTTTGTCAGATATCAGGATAGCTACACCTGCTTTCTTATTGGGGGAATTTGATTGGTAGATCCTTTTCCACCCCTTCACTCTGAGTTTGTTTGTATGTTTGGCTGAGAGGTGGGTCTCCTGAAGGCAACAGATGGATGGGTCTTGTTTTCTGATCCAGTCCTCAGTTCGTTTTCTTTTAATTGGCGAATTCAGCCCATTTATATTAAGAGAAAGTATAGAGAGATGCATTGTTGTCCCTGCCATTCCGTTTTCCTAAGTTTTTCTTCTTTCCTTTCCTCCTGTGCTTGCTCAGTTAGACTTTGAGTAATGCCTGTTTGGGGCAGGTCCCAGTTCCTGGTTGCTTTCTTCAGGTTGTGTCCCCCCTCTTAGAATTCTTTGTAATGCTGGCTTAATGTTTATGTATTCATTTAGTTTTTCTTTGCTATTAAAAGTTTTCAGTTCTCCATCGAATGTGAATGCTAGCTTTGCCGGGTATATCAGTCTGGGTTAGCAGTTATTGGCTCTCAGGGCTCGTATGGTGCTTTCCCAGGCTTTTCTTGCATTCATTGTTTGTGTGGAGAGATCTGCAGTGATTCTAATTTTTTTTTCCCATTGTAGTATAGCTCCTTCTTCATTTTTGCTGCATGCAGGATTGTTTCCTTATTATTCAGATCCATCATTTTTACTATAATGTGTCTAGAAGTGTTTCTCCTGGGATCTTGCTTGTTGGGTGTTCGATAAGCTTTTGTGATGTAGTTAAGATGGTCATTTTTGAGGTGGGGAAAATTTTCATTGATTATCTTGTTAAATAGGTGTTGCATTCCCTTGCTCTGGAATTCCTCCCCTTCGTCCACTCCGATTATGCGAAGGTTAAATTTTTTAGCATTATCTGCTTGCTCTTGAATTTCCCTTTGGTTTAATTTGAGTGATTTTTCCAATTCTATTCTTATAAAAATAACAAAAGTTTAATGTCCTATTGTTGCTAACTTATTTTAAATTCAGCTTATTTCACAATAACGCAACCCTCACAATCTAATTTTCCATCTAATATTCTGCTTCCTATGCCTTCTCTATTCCCTCCTTAATAATCATGTGTGTGTGGGGGGGGGGTATGGGAAGGGATTGAAAGGGGAAACAAAAGAGGAGGCAACAATGTTTGATAAGAAATGTAGTCACTGGGGGCGGGGAGGATTGGGTGGGGGAGGGGGAGTGGGGAGGGTGGGAAGGATAGGAAGGAGAAACAAAGGAGGAGGCTACAATGCTTGATAAGTGTACCCATTATCTTGCCCATGTAATTGTAACCCCTCTGTATGGTATTTTCAAATTAAAAAAATCATTAACAGACAAAAAAAGAAATAAAGTAATCATGCCAGTCTTTCATGACTGCCAGATAGGAACAAAGAACAGCAGGCTAAAAGCAGATCTCCCATCCAATGTGATGGTGGGCCTTTCAGGGTAATTGAGTTTTGAGAATGAAGAATTGGTCTAAGGTAAATGATTCTCCTATCTACTGAGATCTACAGAACACTGGGACTGCCTCCGTGTTTCTGAGAGGAATTCTTACATCCCTGGGCTCTTTATGAGTCGCATATATGCATGTTGATACTCTAAGGATTGTGCCTGCCAGTCTTTGAATTCACAGCAGACCATGACCAAGTGACTTTTGACCTGCTCTATCATTTTTTTTTTCTTTTCTTTTTTTTTTTTTGGGTCCAGTTGTGGGGCCTGAACTCTGGGCCTGAGTGCTGTCCCTCAGCTCTTCAGCTCAAGGCTACCATTCTACCACTTGAGCCACAGTGCCACTTCCGAGTTTTTTCTTTTTGCTTATGTGGTGCTGAGGAATCGAACCCAGGGCCTCAGGCATGCAAGGCAAGCGCACTACCACTGAGCCAACTTCCCAGTCCCTGCTCTATCATTTTCTATTTAGTTGCAAAACTGAATATTATTACAGACACTTTTTGATAGGTCATGATGTATTCTGTCGATTGTCATCATACTCCAAAAAAATAGTTTAACATGCAGAAGACAAAAGAAAATAACTCACTCAGTAGTTACGTTGTTACCAGAATGGATGACAACATCTGGTATGGAATCTGTGTCACTGTGAACAAATGAAAAACAAACAGAAAATTAAGTTGCACTATATATAAGAAAACATACTTTTTTTAAATCAAAGTGCTGACTACTGACACCAAGGTCTATGCAGATTAAGCAGGTGCTCAGTTACTTGAGCTACATCACCAGATCTTCTGCCCATACCATGACATCTCTCAAACACTGAGGTGTGTACACAGATCACCATACTTGCACTAAGTGCTCAATTTAGAGTCATGCTTTTGTCTGTACTAGCTTACTCAATGATCTCACTGTTTGGGTTCAGGATAATTTGGGAACCTTGTTCCTGCTAGTTAAGTACTCAATTTAGACTCACACTTTTGCCTCTACTTGCTTATTCAATGATCTCCCTGTTTGTGCTTTCATCATAATCTGGGATGGATGGGTATGCGACTGTCTTACATCTATACTCCTGTCTACTCAGAGGCTGAGACTGAGGATAGTAATTTGAAAACACCTGAGATTCCATCTCCAATTAACCAGGAAATGCTGGACTCAAAGAGTAGTTCAAGAGTTCTATCAACCACAAGCAAGAAAGCAAAATAGGCACAAGGCTCTGAGTTTTAGCCATAAAAGAAAGACACACACACAAGCACACACAGACGCAGACACACATTACTCTTTGTCATTTGGAAGGTACTTTGCTCATAATAATCTTGCTACAGTCAATCAAAACATATACTACTCATTCCAATAGAATCTTATATAAAGGCTGATAGCTTTCTAAGGGTTTTCTTCTGAGCTCACTAAAATAGCAAAGAGTTTGTCTTCTGATTGGATTCTCATTCCTTCACCTAACTTGGAAAGGAGAGGAATATTACAGATATAAGATAAACGACCACCTTTTTGATATAGTTCCCAGAAATTCTGGCTTAATATCTCTGTATCTTTGTATTCATGTATGTATGTATGTATGTTTGTATGTGTGTATGTATGTATACAAACAAATATATATATATATATATTTATATATATGCGTGCATCTGATCTTTTGCTGACATCTTCCAGTGTGAGCTCGATTGGTTCATTTATATCCACATTAAACAATTAAACAATTCTATTATGCAAAGTCAAATATGGGATAAATTCCTACCCTTATTTCTTCACTCATTAGCTACAATTCTCTTAAAATTAATAAACTGGTAGAACTTGAAATTTTATATACCTAGTTATAAGAAAAGGGGTATTTCTAGTTATCTTGAGAAACAAAGTGTCTAGGGCAAAGTAAATGTGCACATCTGCAAAAGAAATGCTTCATGGCAGATTTAAGACTATTTATTTCCTAGGCCAGGTGCATGTAGCTCACATAAATAATCATATCTGGTCAGGAAGCTGAGAAACAAGGGTCTCAGTTTGAAGTCAGCCAGGGAGACAAGTCCCTGAGACGATGTGTGTGTTTGCATGCGTGAATGTGTGTGTGTGTGTGTGTGTGTGTGTGTGTGTGTGTGTGTGTGCATGCATCTCATCTGTGTGCATGTGTGCATGTGGTCCTGTGGACACACACACACACACACACACACACACACACACACACACACACACACACACACACACGGCGGTTCTAAGGTTACAACCCAGGGCCTAGGCAGTCCCTGAGCTTCTTTTGTTCCTGGCTAGACCTCTACCTCTTTAACCACAAAGCCACTTCCAGCTTTTTCTGAATAGTTTGTTGGAAATAAGAGTCTCATGTACTTTTCTGCCTGGGCTGGCTTAAAACCATGATTCTCAGAGCTCAGCCTCCTGAGTACCTAGAATTATAGGCATGAGCCACTAGCAGCCAGCTCCTAAAACTTTTATCGGCTATAAACAACTCAGAACAACAGAAGTAGACTTGTGTCTCAAGGGGTAGGCACTAGCTTTGAACAAAAATATGTTCAAGGTCTACACCCTGGCTCTGAGTTCAAGCCCGAAGACTGGAACAAAAGGACAATAATAATATTAATATTGATACTAATAGTGATGAGGAGCAGGAGGAGGATTACGACGATGATGCAGAGAATTAGAGGATGAGTCCCCATGTTATACAATTGCGAACAAACAGCAAAATAGGAAAAAGGGGTATGAAAAGATTATTTTTTACAGACCAGAAAAGAGCCAACACCAATGGCACTTTAACATAAGACTTCTATCCCCTAGGACTGTGGAATAATTTTTAAGTACATGAGCAATTTTGTTTGTGATAATTAGTTAGTAAAGTCATAAAACATATATACTGTCCACTCAAATAGGGTCTCATATATAGGTTATCTGATAGCTTGCTAGGAGTTTTACTCACTGCTCACTAAAATAGCACTGAGGCTGTCTTCTGACTGGTTTCTCATTCACTCACCTAACTTGGAAAACTGACAACATTACAGACAAAGCTGTAATGCCCAATCTTTTGATACCTCTCCCAAAAATTCTGGCTTAATACCTGTGTATCTTTATGTACATATATACATACATATAGGAATGCATCTCACCTTTCACTGAAATCTTCGAGTACAAGATCTCCTGTTTTAATCTCTTCCAACCTAAAGGATTAAATTATACACAGTCAAATATCAGGCAAATTCATTTACATTTTCATCCAACTTAGCTACAATTTACTTAAAACTAATAAATTGGTAGAACTTGAAAGTTTTATATATTTAGTTATATAAGAAAGGAGTATTTGTCTTTCCTGACTAGGACAAGTATCTGTGCTCACAGATATAACCCTAGCCTCTCAGGAGATTGAGATCTGAGAATCATGATTTTTTAACCACACAGGACAGAAAAGTCCATGAGACTCATCTCTCTAACTAGCTACCAAACACACTGGAAGTGGAATTGTGGGTTGGGGACTAGAGTGCTAGACTTGAGCAAAACACACTTAGGAACATGGCTCAGACCCTAATCTCAAGCCCAATGACTGGCTCATTGAAATAAAGAATAATTCTATTCTTATAAACATAACAAAAGATTAATGCCCTATGGTTGTGGAACTATTTTAAATCCAGATTAATTCACAATAACTCAACCCTCAATTAATCTAATTTTCTGCTTCCTTTTTCTTCTCTATTCCCTCCTTCATAAAGCAATCATGTCAGTCTTTCGTGCCAGATATGAACAAAGAACAGCAGGCTAGAAGCAGGACTCCCATCCAATGTGATGGTGGTTCTTTCAGGGTAATTGAGTTTTGGAGAATGAAGAATTGGTCTAAGGTAAATGATTCTCCTACCTACTGAGATCTACAGAACACTGGGACTGCCTCCGTGTTTCTGAGAGGAATTCTTACATCCCTGGGCTCTTTATGAGTTGCCTACATGCATGTTGATACTCTGACTAAGGATTGTGCCTGCCAGTCTTTGAATTTACAGCAGACCATGACCAGGTCTCTTTTGACCTGCTCTAGCATTTTCTATTAGTTACAAAACTGAAATTATTATAGAGTATTTGATAGGTCATCATGTATTCTGTCGATTGTCATCATACCCCCCAAAAATAGTTTACCCTGGGGTGATAAAAGAAAACAACTCACCTAGTATTCAAGTTGTTATTAGAAATATTGACAACATGTAGTCTGGTATCTGTGTCACTGTGAACAAATGAAAAATGAACAGAAAATTATTAAGTGAAGTAAGCCAGGCCCAAAGAAACATAGGTCCCATGGTTAGCCGGAACTAAAGCTTTATCTCACAGTCCTAGGAATAGAAGTTTCATAACAGGGTATAAAAAAATCTCTCTATGCCCCTAAATGCTATTTGTTGACAATTTTATGACATATATACTCATCCTCTAGGGCTCTGCTTTATTTACTTACTTGTTTGTTTGTTTGTTTAGCTCAGGTCCTGTGGCTTGAATTCAGGTCTTGGGCACCGACTCGTGAGTTGTTGTGCTCAAGGCCAGTATGCTACCCCTTGAGCCATAGGTCAATTTCTGAATTGACCTATGTGAGATAAGTTTTAGTTGCAATATCTAGTATATGTCTGAGTCAAGCAGAAAAGGTCAGATAAGGTGATGCTAGGGAAATGAAACCTAAGAGACGTATTCAAATGATTTATTTTTCTTTCATAAGATTGTTTCTAACACATTTATAAGATTATTTCTTTGTTGCTTTGTATGTCCCTCCACCACAGTATAACCCATGCTTTTACTGTATTTGATGTCAGCATAATTTGTGGAGGGGAAAAGGAAAAACAAATCATTTAAATGGGGATGCAGGTGGACCCATTGCAACAATGAGATGTACTTTACAACTTTGGTGGGGGGTGGGGAGGATTGGGTGGGAGGGCAGGGGGAGGATGGGAAGAGATGGGAAGGGGAAACAACGCAGGAGGCTACAATGCTTGATAAGATATGTACTCATTATCTTGCCCATGTAATTGTAACTCCTCTATACAGTATTTTTACAATAAAAAAAGAAAAAGAAACAAAATTAAGTTGCACTATGTATACTCATTACCTTGCCCATGTAATTGCAACCACTCTGTATGGTATTTTCACAATAAAAAAAAGAAAAAAAAGAATTTTAATTCTCACAATTAAAAAAAACATACTTTTTTTTATATATACCAAAGTGCTGACCTTTAAACTAAGGTCTGTGTAGACTAAGCAGGTGCTCAGTTACTTGAGCTAAATCGCCTGCTGTTTTGCCTCTTTCTCAAATACTGAGGTTTGAACTCAGAACCCTGTCCCTGATATTTAAGTGCTCAATTTACAGTCACACTTTTGTCTATGCTGGCTTTTTCAATTATCTTCTTGTTTGTTCTGTCATCATAATCTGGCATGGATAGGTATGCCACTTTCCCACAATTATAATCCTATCTACTCAAGAGGCTGAGACCAGAGGATAACAATTTGAAGCCACCAAGATTAGGAATGTCTTGGGTAGAACATTTCCAATTAACCAGTAAAATGCTGAGCTGAAAGTATAGTACTCAAGTTAACAAATCAGCCATGAATATGAAAGCAGAATAGGTATAATTTTCTAAGCTTTATAAGTAACAACACACACACACACACACACACACACCCCACACACACATGTACACACACCCTAATCTTTGTCGTGTGGCACAAGATTTTATAAGGAATTAAGTAATAACACACTAAAGTAGTCACAAACCTGTCATAGTGCCAGCAATTTCACCCTTTATCCAGTGTAAATCATGTCCTTACACTACTCATATCATAATGTCAGAAACCTTAAATTCACACTTTAAAAAATTAGAATTCAGGGCTGGGAAGGTGGCTCAGTGGCAGAGCGCTTGTCTTGCCTGCCTGAGGTCCTGGGTACGATTCTTCAGCACCACATAAGCAAAAAGAAAAAGCCCTGAAGTGGTGCTGTGGCTCAAATGGTAGAGTGCTAGCCTTGAGCTGAAGAGCTGAGGGACAGAGCCCAGGCCGAGAGTTCATGTCCCACGACCTGACCCCCCACCCAAAAAAATAAAATTAGAATTCAAAGAACTTCACATTCAAAATAAGGCAGAACTGGGCTCTGGTGACCCACACATGTAATCCTACCTACTCAGCAAATTAGATCTGAGGAGCATGGTTTGAAGCCAGCCCAAGAAGGAAAGTTCCTGAGATTCTGATCTCCAACAAACTACTCAGAAATTCAGAAATTGACCTCTGGCTCAAGGGGTAGCATACTGGCCTTGAGCACAACAAATCACGAGTCGGTGCCCAAGACCTGAATTCAAGCCACAGGACCTGAGCTAAACAAACAAACAACAAACAAGTAAGTAAATAAGGCAGAGCCCTAGAGGATGAGTATATATGTCATAAAATTGTCAACAAATAGCACTTAGGGGTGTAGAGAGATTTTTTATACCCTGTTATGAAACTTCTATTCCTAGAACTGTGAGATAAATTGTGAATGTATGGCATATTTAGTTTGTAGAAACTGATTACTACAGTCACAGAAAATGTATACTACCTTATATAGACTATCTACTAGCATTGTAAGGGTTTTCTTCAGAGCTCACTGAAAAAGCACAATGTTTCTCTTCTGGCTGGGTTCTTATTTTTTCGAATAACTGAGAAATGGGAGAAATGTAACAGACATAGCATTGTAAGGGTTTTCTTCAGAGCTCACTGAAAAAGCACAATGATTCTCTTCTGGCTGGGTTCTTATTTTTTCGAATAACTGAGAAATGGGAGAAATGTAACAGACATAACTTGAATGCCCAACCATTTCATATAGTTTCCACAATACCTAGCTTAATATCTCTGTATCTTAAGTTACATATAGATCTCACCTTTTGTTAACATGTTGTAAGATTATCTCTGGTGGTTCAGGCTTCTCCAGGCTAAAGGGTTAAGTTACACACAGTCAAACACCAAGTGAATTCATAAATTTACTTTTTCATTCAAGTTAACTACAATTAAGTCAGAATGAATAAATTGGTACAATATCAAATTTTACATATTCAGTTACATGAAAAGCAGTATTTCTATCTTTCCCTACAAATGAGGCTTCTGGGGAAAATTACAAGTGTACACCTGGCTAAAAAAGGTTGCATTCATGATTTTAAAATAATTTTGTCCTAGGCAAGTGCCTGTGCTTCAGGGCTATAATTTTAGCTGCTCAAGCAGCAGAATTCTGAAGATCACTTATAACCACTATGGACCAAAAAGTCCATGAGACTCCTATCTCCAATTATCTACCAAAAAAGCTGAATTTGGGCCTGTGGATCAAGTGGTAGTCTTGAGCACATAAAGCTCAGGGTCAGGGCTGAGGCCCTGACCCAGCTTAAATAAATATGGGAACAAAAATAGACAAGATACAAATGATGATGATGATTTTGAGGGTGGGGTCCGGTCACGGGCCCTGAACTCTGGGCCTGGGCACTGTTCCTCAGCTCTTCAGCTCAAGGCTAGCACTCTACCACTTGAGCCACAGTGCCACTTCTGGCTTTTTTTTTTTTTTTTTTTTTTTTGCTTATGTGGTGCTGAGGAATCGAACCCAGGGCCTCAGACAAGCAAGGCAAGCACTCTACCACTCAGCCACCTTCCCAGCCCCAAATGAATATTTCTATCAGAGTACACATAACAAAACTGAATTCTCTTTTATTGTGGACTAATTTAAAATATTCTGCTTCCCATGTTCTCTCTATTTCCTCTTTAATTACATGAATTGAGACTGACTTTGCTGCCTTGAATCAGATAGGGACACCAGGCTAGAAGCAGGACACCCATCCAATGTGATGGGGGGGGGGGGTGGGCCTTCAAGGTTACTGAGTCCTAGAGAATGAAGCATTGGTCCAGGGTTGATGAGCTCCATTCTCCTGGGTTCTGCAGAAAACTGGGACTACCTGCTTGATTCTGAGAGGGATTTTCACCTCCTTTGGCTCTTTATGAGCTGTATGCATGCAGCCACTGATACTCTAAAGATTGTGGCTGTCAGTCCTTGAATTTACAGCAGACCATGACCAAGTCTCTTTTGACCTGATTTATCATTTTCTATTTAATTTAGAAACTGAAAACTATTTCATACATTTTTGATAGGTCTTCATGTATTCTGTCCATTGTTATCATATTCCAAAATGGTTTACCATGCAGATCACCAAAGAAAACAACTCACCCAGAAGTTACACCTTCATTGGTATTGTTGTCATTGCTGTGAACAAATGAGAAACAAACAGGAAATTAAGTTGGACAGTATAGTTGAAATCACACTGTTTTCTACAGTGCTGACTACTGAAAACATGGCCTGGGCATGCTAGGCAGTTTTAGGCAGCAGGCTCAGTCTCTTGAGCCAAACCTCCAGCTCTTCTATTCCTAAACCACTTCTCTCAAGTACTTAGTCTGAACTCAGAGCCCTGTGCTTGCTAGCTAGGTGCTCAATTTCGAGTCACACTTTTTCTCTGCTAGCTTATTCAGTGATCTCCCTTTTTGTGCTTTCAACATAATCTGGGATGGCTGGGCATGTCTCTGTCTCACATCTATAAGCCTACCTACTCAGAGGCTGAGAACAAAGGATAACAATTTGAAGCTACCCAAATTGGGATATCTTAGAGAGTTCATCTGCAACTAACTAGCAAAATGGTGGATTGAAAAAGGGTTAAAGAATTAACACATCATCCATTAATAAAAAAGCAGAATAGGTACAAGGCTCTGAATTTTAGCCATAACAACAAAAACACACAGGCACCCTAATCTGCAACAAGATTTTACTAGGAAATCCAGTTACCACAGATTCAAGCAGATACAATCTTGTCACAGAGCAAGGGATTAAGCCCTTTATCCAAGGTAAGTTATGTCTTTACATTGTTCTTGTTGACTGGAAACCTTGGAATCAGATTTATGAGAAATTATCTTTCTAGGTCTAGGAAAAAATGTCTTCTACAAAATAAGGCAGACTTATAGGATGAATATACACATCATAGAATTGTGGACAAACTGCAAAATAGGGGGAAAGGGTCGAGAAAATTCTTTAAAGACCTGATAAAGAGCCAACCCTGCAGGCTCTTTGACCTGACACTTTGATCCTCTAGAGCTGTGAAATAGGTTGTATGCTACTTTATTTGTTTTTGTTAATGGTCCAGGCTTGAACTCTGGGTCCGGGGGCTGTTCTTGAGCTTTTTTGCTGGAGGCTAATGCTCTACCACTTACCCACAGAAACCAGTGGTTTTTAAGGAAATCTGTCATCAAGTCCCAATGCCTTTTACAACTCATATTAGTAAAGTCAACTTACGTTTGTTCATTCTCTGGATAGTTTATTCTAGTATCTGTTGTAACATGTATAACTCTGCTACAAAGTAGAAAACACAAAAAAAGCAGTCAGGCATTTTGGAAGGCAATGAGACTCTTGGTACTTTAGGATTTCAGGATAGAAAAGTAAAAAAGCAAAAGAAAAAAAAAACCAAAACAAATACAAACAAGAAATTTTGACAGAGCTAAAGAAACAACTTCAGAGCACAGAACTGAGACCTGAAATAAGCTGATAGGTGCACATATCAGGTGTGTGTGTGTGTGTGTGTGTGAAGGAAAGAGAAAGAAGGAAAGAAGGTAAGTTTAGAATTCATGAGTTTCCTCCTCTTCTTCCCTATTTTGTGTACCATTCAGGCTAGCCTGGAATCCATTGGTAAATGAAACACTGGGTAAGTCAGATATTAAAGGATGGTTTCAGGTAATAGTTTATGAAGAAAAACAGAAGTAAAAACACTAGAACAAATATTCTAATACCATGGACTAATTGCTATTGAGTCTTCTGTAAGAAAGAGACAGTAAACAGGTCAAGAGTGGTCTAAATTATGGTACAGTATGGTATAGAGCTCAATTATACAGCATTTTATGAAGTACTTATGAAGTAATCTCCTGGGCTCAAGCCCTCAAAAATTAGTTTATTAGAATGATTTTTTCTTTCCTATGAATTCATTTTTAAAGGATATTTTGTTAGACTATAAACAATTAAGATTTAGCTCAGTGGAAAAACATGAGAAGGGCCCCGAGTTTGATCCTCAGCACTGGGAAAAAGAAAAAAGTAAAAAGCGAAAAAGACAGATACACATACACATACAAAATAATAATAATAATAATAATGGTACTAGTCGTCATAGTAGTAGTGGTAGTAGTAACAGAAAAGACTGAATTTAACCAAAACAGTCATCTCTACATAGCTACTGCTTTCCACCAGGAGTCCAACACAGAACTATAACACCAAAAAGTATGCAAAGGTATGGAAAGGTAAGAATGTACACTTCAGTTGGTTTCTGTCAAGGAAGAAAACTGGAAGATACTGAACAAACCCCTTATATATAGACTACTTAGTGAACTATTTGGGGCTCCAAAGCATCAGACATTTATGAATGCTATAAGAACTCCTTTAACTGAGTATACAATGATCAACCCCTACGATAGATGAAAGTAGCAGTGAAGTAGCAGCATTATATATTATTATTATTATGTGTGTGTGTGTGTGTGTGTGTGTGTGTGTGTGTGTGTGTGTAGATATATGCTTATAGTTTAAGGCTTTGTAAACTTTTCCCACTCTCTTATTAATCTTTACCACACTCTATACTTATAAACACCTCCCATGCTCTTAAACACTTTCTACACTATTTATTTATTTATTTAGCCAGTCCTGGGCTTGAACTCAGGGGATGGGTATTGTTACTGGGCTTCTTTTGCTCAAGGCTAGCACTCTGCCACTTAAGCCACAGTGCCCCTTTTGGCTTTTTCTGTCCTGAGGATTCAAACCCAGAGCTTCATGTGTGCTAGACAAGCGCTCTACCACTAAGCCACATGCCCAGCCCCACTTTCTATATTCTTAAACCTACATAATTTTATCAGCAAAATCCCATGATATAGCAAAAACTCTGCAATACAGATTTGAATTTTTTTTGCTGGGGGTGGGGAGGTCTGTAGTGGGGCCTGAACTCTGGGCCTGGGCACTATCCCAGAGCTCTTCAGCTTAAGGCTAGCTCTCTACCACAGCACCACTTCTGGCTTTTTTCTGCTTATGTGGTGCTGAGGAATTGAACCCAGGGACTCATGCATGCAAGGCAAGCGCTCTACCACTGAGCCACATTCCCAGCCCCCTGGATTTATTTTTTAACCCGTGATACAGTGAAGCTGCAAAAAGGGAACTGTAATATAGTGAGGAAAACTGAACTTTATGAAGCCTGAAAAACTACCTTAGTAAGCTGCTTGCACAGATACTGTCTTCTCCATGGGACATGAATAAACCAGCAGCTGAAGACAGGATCTGATAGGAATCAACCTTCTTCCAATGGTATACACCACAGGCCTTATTCAGACTGTTACATCCTATTTATACAATGTGAGCTATCTTTAAAATTTTTTGCCTGAGTCACATCTTTCTTCCCTTTGGATTTTTTCTGGTGCCAGTTACTGGGGCTTCAATTCAATGTTTGGGCACTCAAGGCCAGCACTCCATCACTTGGTATATGCATAACATCTAGGTTTTTGGTGGTTAATTGGAGACAAAAATCTGATGGACTTACCTACATGGACTGGCTTAGAACCACAATCCTGAGATCTCAGCCTCCTGAGTAGTTAGGATTGCAGCCATCCATGCCCAAATATGTTTTCAGAGTCTGTCATACATAATGCTGAATTGTAAGGCACTAATATCACTAATAAAAACTAATTTTATCTTCACCATGGTAATGAAGTATGTTTCTAGTGTTAATTAAATACCTGAAGCCCTTGTGGCCATCCTTGTGGAACACAGCTAGGCTGAATACCAGTTTCCCATCCCTAACACACTATCCACTATTATTAGAACAACCAGCCACCCCCAGAGTGAAACTTAAAGGGACCAGTCCCTTTAAGTTATCACAGTGCCTAAACTTCAGTATTTTAACCAACAGTAAAGGCATAGAACATGTTAAATAGCATTTAATCTGTGAACATGTTAAATAACATTTTCCATATACTTTACATTATTAAGAAAAAAGGTATAGCTGTGTTCCTGATTTCACTAAACAAGCCTAGGATTTTTGCTCAAAATTTAGCACATTTGAATGCTATGACTTACTTGTTACGTCTGATGCGTACCAACCAGTGGTACACGGATCTGCAAATGGACCTGAACATACAAATCTCTCAAATTCAAATAATCCTAAGAAAAGGAAAGCAGATAAGAATTTTATATTCATTGTTTCTAAAACAGACTTATAGTATCACTAAAAATAAGGTGAAAGCCACACATACCAGGCTTTTAGGTAGTGTTCAGCATCTCCAAATTTTTGGCCCACAAAGTTATCAGATCTATAATTCTGTAGATTTTATCAATTCCGTGAGACATACATTCTGCAATTGCCTTTCATATTTTAGTTCCAGATATAGAAAAACTTTTTGAATCTTCAAAATATATTAAGTTTAGCTAAAGTACAAGATACTTTACAGATTAATCCAATTGCTACATAGGAGGACTTAGAAAGTTAAATAAAACCAGTTTCACTACATCATGATAACTTATAATTTTCTATCTAGAGACATTGTACAGTATAACTCAAAAGCATTAGAGAGAAAGTGATATGCTCCTCAATATTTCATAGAGTGGATATATGTTATACAAGAAAATTCGAAGTCAACAGGAAATTAAACCTAGCTACTTAGGCATTCTGAGGATCTTGGTTCAAAGCAAGCCAAGATAGGACAAATCCATGAGACTCCAATTAACCAGGAAAAAAAGCTGAAAGTGGAGATGTGGCTCAAAAGGTAAAGCATCAGCCTTGAGTGGAAAAGTTTTACAAGAGTTTGAGGACCTCAGAGAAAGCCCTAGTATTACTCCCCCCTAAACAAAAAATTGCCAAATAAATGGCCAAGTTAATATAGTAATAATATGGTGTCTACACTGAGGCTACCAGAAATGTGCTGTAACTTTGTAAACCCTTGACAAGAAAGAGAAAAATAGAAACAAACAGGAAAATATTCTTTGTAAAATATAAATGGTTTCAGGCTAAAATACTGATTCTGACTTTTGAACCTAGAGCAGACACTTGTAAATTCCATCCCATTCAGCCATACAGGTCATACACAAAGGTAGAATGCTCAAAGCTCTAAGTCTAGCATCTGGTGCCCCACCGATGTGAACCAGAAGAGGCAAGGCAAAGCAGAAGACCTGTAGCCAGCCCAGCTTCTGCTGTGGTTGATGTGGTTCAAAAGAGGGTGAGGGGCAGCAGGAAATGATTGGACAAAATGATTGGACTCAGACCATCTCACATCTTTCAATTTATATACAACTGGACATAAAGGAGGATCTAACCCTATTCCAGATCTAGATGGCAGTTGATTCTCCCGCTACCTTTCAGGGTAAGAACTTTGCTGGATTTTTGTTTTGTTTTCAGTATTTTTAATTCCTAATTCCCCCTATTCAAGCTTGCTTGTTAAGACAAATCACCCATTTCCTGGCCAGCAACACAGTATCACAACTAGATTTCACGCTCAGGGTAAGTGGGCCCTGGGAGGTCCCAGGTAAATCTTCCACTCAACTTCAGCAGAAATCCCAACAACTCAGGAGCTCATATCTGAAGAGTGAAGTTCAAAGCTAGGCCAGGCAGGCAAATCTACTAGGACTTAGAGTCCATTAGGATTCTAATCTCCTATGGTAGGGCATCAAAAAGCCAAAAGTGAAGTTGTGGCTCAAGTGGAAGAGCACTATCCTCGAGCAAAAATAGCTAAGGGAGAGTGCCCAGGTGCTGAGTCCAAACCCCAGTACTAGCAAACACATACACACAAACACTTCACTCAGCTGACCCCCAAAAACCCCAGCCAGCCTTCTCTCTCCCACATCCCCTCCCACCAGCCCTCTGTCCTCCACATACCATCCCACAAGCCCTCCCTCAAAAAACTCATTCATTTTATTTTTATTCTTTTGGTAAAGATGAGAAGTCATGCCCAACTGACATATTGGGAAGTCAGTAAGGCTACCCTTGCTCAGACCCTCACCCCATGGTCTTTACCTGTTGGGCATTCAACAACAAATATGAGAATAAGAATTTTGTTCCCATGGTAACCCCAAACAGAAGACTCTGGTCAGCTTGCTGTCACTGAAGGAGGAACAGAATGTAGTTCATTCCTAACTACAGAAAATTAAAGACACAGGCACCTTAAAGACTGGGGGCCCAAGGAGGGGAGCATGTACCAAGGCCAAAGAGCCTAGGATAATAATTTCAGAACATCAACTATCTTGCCCATTTTTTTCTCCTGTATCTAATGGAGGGAATTCTTCTGTTAACCCAAACTGATGAAACTAAGAGATCTCTGAAACAAAAGGCTTTACTAAGCTGAGACATATGTTAGCTAAAAATAAAGAGTTGGTACTGGAACAAACTCCCAGAGGGAACATGACAAGTAACAGGAAAATTGTCACCAGATCAACAGAACCAGGGTATTTAAAAGAGAAAATTCAGGAAGAATGATAACACAAAGCCTACATTAGCTACAAATAAAAGGGAAGGACAATGCAAAGTGGAGAAGTCCTGGATGGGGATCTCCTCTCCATTTTTCATCCTATGCCCAGTAACAGGTTAGGGTATCAGAATTATCATGTATTATGTATTCTGATTATCTTTTGCCTTTCCCTATAGGTTAGACAGAATGAGCAAGGGCCTGGATATTTTCTGAACAGTACCTAATTTGGTTCAAATAGGCAAAAGGGACAGAGAGGACTTGGGAATTTTTTAATGACTATTCTGTTGGTGCTGGGCTTGAACTCAGGGCCTGAGTGCCATCCCTGAGCTCTACCACATGAGCCATGGCTCCACTTCCTGTGGGAAATGTTTTAATTACTCAAGCTATCATTTCACAGAATTGGGAGGAAACAGGGCTGAGTGGTGCCTGAAGCTTCCAATCCTATCTACTTGGGATGCAGAGAGGGGAGACTGTGAATCAAGGTCATCCCAGGAATAAAAAGCTCATGAAACTACATCTCAACCAATCACTGAGTAAAATGTTACACACTTGTTATCCTAGCGTCAAGGGAAGCCTGTTGGAATGAGTAGTGCACATCTATCATACCCAGCAATGTAAGAAAGTAGAAGTAGAAGGAGTACACAAAGCAATGTTGGGCCAGATTAAAAGCAAGTCCTGCTCCCATACACATAAAGAATTGAGAAATAAATACAAATTGTAAATTAACATTGTACCCCTTATTTATGATTGAATGAGCCTGAAAGAGGAAAATAAATGCCAGACAAATAAAACTTTTTAGATGCAGTAGGAATAACTCTGTGGTGATTTTCATATACAACTTACCATAAAAAATCAGCAACACAATGAATGGGCAAATAAACCAGAAAGACAAATGTATTTTGAAAGAAGTACAAACGTGAAGAGATCCTCAAATCCCTTGCCATTAAGGAAATACAAATAAAAACACGGAAGAGTTTTCCTGTCTTCAGTCAAAATGGCCATCACCAAGAACACAAACAGCAGCAAATACTAGAAAGAATGCACTGTTGATGGGAATATAAATCAGTATAAGCTCTAAGGAAATCAGTATGGAGATCCCTCAAAAAACAAACAGGTCTACCACACAATCCAGTGAAAATACTCTTCAGCATGTATCTGAAGGAAGGTAAATCAGAATATAAGAGAGGCACCTATAAATATATTTTCTTTGTAGCATTATTTACAATAGCCAAGCTATGGAAACAGATGCCTTAGAAACTGTCAAGTGGATTGAAAAATGTGATATGCACAATGAGAAATATAAGATGCACAATAGAATAACATTCAGCCATAAAGATGAGTAAAGTTATATTGTTTTCAGTCCAGCTTCAGAAAAGCAAGTCATATGTTTTCTCTCATGTGTGGAAAAACACATATGTAAACAGATACAGGAGATCATACACCCAAGCATACAACATTTTGTCATTGCGGGGCTGTTGTACGTTAAGAGGAAGAAGAAAGGAAAATAATGTTGAAAATTATTGGAAAACAGTGCATCTGTGACTGAAAATGGCATAATGAAGCTCATTATAAAAGATAAAAGCTGTTGAATAATAAGGGGTAGAGAGAATGGGGAAGGGGGGAGTAAGCAAAGGTAGTCAATCTGATTAAAGGACACCATGTGCATGTGTGAAATACCCTGAAGCCTCTAAAAAACTAAAAATAGTATACATCAGAACCCTGCCATACTGCCCTTGGGCATATATATCTGAAGGAGTCTAATCAATATACAAGGAAGACACCCACACACCCATGTTTATTGCAGGTTTGTTTGTAATAGACAAATGGCAGAATCAGCTTAGGTGCCTGACACCTGATAGGTAATTACAGTGCATATATATATATATATATATATATATATATATATATATATATATATATACACACATATATATATATACACATATATATACATATATATGTGCATATATATCATGTAATATTACTCAAGTCATAAAGAAATACTTAACTCATGTTAATTATGAGGGGACTGGAGAGCATCATTTTGAGTGAGACAAGCCAAGCTTAAAAAGACAAATATCATGTTTTCTCTCACTTGTAGAATTGAGACTTTAAAGGCATATATATATATATGTATATATATACATATATACATATGTATATACACACATAGAACTTATGGGACAGTCTGGGGAAGTAAAAAGGAGAGGAGAATGGAAGGTAAATGACATCAAATTACAGTGAAGCTATGTATGAGGTGGAAATCTCACTAAAGGCTGCTAACAATAGAGGGGTGGGAGATGGGAAAGAGGCAGAAGAGGGGATTCTTATTAAAATGGAAAGCATGTGCATGAGAAATATGGCTATACCACTTGTTGTAGTTACTAGGCAATACCAAGTTTAAATAGGAACTGCAATTCACAATAGCCTCAAATAAAAATTACCTAGCATAACCCTAAATAAGGACTAAATAGTCTCCCTTACAACTACAACATCTCAAAAGAAACATGGATTAAGGCATTAGAAGATGGAAAGGTAGTTTAGAAGAGTTCATACTAATATTAATTAGTCATTGATACTAAGGGGATACCTATACAACAGAATATTATTTGACAATGAAAAGCAATGAAGTATAGATAGATAGATATGTACTTTAAGGTGGGTGAACTCTGAAAATATGCTACATAAACAAGCCATGCCATAGCTACATGAAATGTCTTGAATAAAAACACAGGGCAGAAAAAAATACTTCAGTGTTTGTCCTAAGATTCTGGTGGGAAGTCAGTAAGAGAATAAGACAGTGACTAGTCTTGAGTACAGAGTTTCTTTCTGGAGTGAAGAAAGATATCTAAAATTATAGAATGGTAATATTAAGTGATAGCTTCCCAACCCTGTAAATGCAAATAAAGTGTATTGAATTGTATACCTCAAAAAGAGTGAATTGTAGGATCTCAATACATAGGTTGAAAACCCCAGATGTCCCTCTACCTCTAGGAGAGGCAAATATAAACTACATTGCCATCTGAAGGTGCATGGGATGCATGATAGGCCCTCCACGAATGCAGAATTGTTCAATTCCTGAGGCTTTGAAGACACTGGCCTCAGATACTCTGTGCTGGAACACAGCCAGCCTACAGCTGGAGTTGTCACGATGGCTCCGGAAATGAGGTCCTGAAGTCTGTGGAAGGTGATCCTGGCCCCGGCCTCCTGAGTTGGCTTGTCCTTTCACCTGCGTTCTACACACCTTTCCTGCTTGCTTCATTGAGGACATTAGGAACTTCATGGTCAAGCCCAAATCTTATGGAAGCCAGTCCTGGCAGAAATGTGGGTCATCTCCACATTCTGGATACAGGTCCTGCAGTGAGAGAACTTGGTTGGTTTCTTGCTCTTCAACAGCAAAAGAGCTGGCACACCTGGAATCACTTGACCAGGCCCGATGTTTCTAGAACACTGCGGCTCTTGGGGCTGGATAAGGCTGTGCACCAAAGCTATGGAAAAACTTCAGCAGGGTGACCAGGAAAATCCTCCCTCTGGCACTAGCACCTAAAATGCCTTTTTTTTCACTGCATGGTTTGTACAGCTGGGTGAGGTGGGCACCTTCATGCAGCAAGTTGGGACCCTCAGCTCCACCACTCGGCCAAGCCCCACAGATCACAGGACTCAAGGGGTAGATAAACAGCAGTAGAGATGACCCAAGGTGTAGTGCTCCACCAAGCTCCAATGGAGAGTGATCTGGGCCTGGCAGCTGAGATTCCCAGGCAGCGGCCTCTGGTCCTGAGGCTTCCCAGGCTCATCTGTGGAGGCCAGTGGGCTCCACAGATGAGCAGAGCTGCAGAGCAACCCGGCAGGCCAGGAGGTCTCCCAGGCTTTTGGGAAGCTCTTTGCAAGGGACCCCACATCTTGTCCCAGGAAAGCGCTGAAGACAGAACTGAGTTTCCTCGAGGGAAGTTGGAGGTAATGGCTATCAAAGCTCTGTCCGAATACAAGATGACCCATTGTAACAAGATGTACAAGACACTGAGGAAAACAAACTTCAAAACTTTGTGGGGGGAGGAGGGGAGGGAGATGCATGCACACGATGGAGGGAAGCCATGAGTAGGACACAGCATAAGGGGGAAAATGAACAACATACAACAAAGGAGCCCATCAGCTGCACTGGACAGAAGCAACCCCAAGGCACTTATGGGAAGGGAGGAATGAGAGGGAAAGAGGGAACAGCCTACACTAAGCAAAAGGAAAGAAATGTAAACATCACCTGATGTCCAAGAAATAATTTGTATTGTCAAAACTCATAAAATTCACAAACTGTATAGACCATGATAATGACAATGTGCCTTGTGAAGTTTAAAATGTGTCTGTGCCTTAACTAAGTATCACTATTCCACAATACTGTGAAATATGTGAAATTTATGTAATCACCTAATCTCAATTAAAAAAAAGTGAGAGAAGGGATGGGTTAGGAGATATGGGTGACAATGTTGTCAGACACCTTGTATTCATAGACTGAATGGGAACTTCTTTGTACAACTACTTAAATATAATAATAAAAATATATATTTAAAAAAAGACTGTAGAAAAGGACTTTATAACTTTGTGGGGGGAGGAGGGAGGAGTTGGGGAGGTGGAGAGGGAAGGGATGGCAGGAGGAAAGCAGAGGAGGGGTAACAATGCTCTATATGAAATGGACTCATTACCTTGCTCATGTAACTGTAACCTCTCTGTACAGTATCTTTACAATAAAAAAAAAATTTTGTTTAAAGGTCTGTCCTTCAGGCCACTCACCAGCATAAGCTCCGCCCCGGCATAGCACCTGCCCCTTTCTTGGGCCAATCCTGGCATTGGTCCTGCCCCCAGCACAAGCCTGCCTTGAGTATAGGTTGGTTGTGGCATAGGGCCCGCCCCCTTACCACCCTCAGCATAGGCCTGCCCCCAGCATAGGCCTGCCCCCAGCATAGGCCTACTCCCAGTATAAGGCCTTCCCCAGCTTGCTCGCAGGTAGGCCCACCCTCAATGTTGCCCCAAGCCCAGCATTGGGACAGGCCCAGCATATGTGCTGCCCTCAGCATAGAGTCCACCCTCAGCCCACCCTCAACATAGGCATTGATATATACATTCACCCTTGCCTTAGTTCCACCCATGATACTGGCCCTGCCCCAGAGTGAGCTCCCAGAATTCCTCCCAGAATTCATTCACACAAATCCCAGGCAAAGCAGGGGGCACACCAGATCTGGAAGACCACAAAGACCAAGGGTACCAGTGTGAAACTGTTGGGATGAAGAAAAAGACCGTCAATCTCCAGAGAGATCATCTCTTCAAAATAAAAGAAAGGAAAAATAAACTTTAGTACAAGTCTCAGGGAAGGCCTGCTGATGGAAAGCTCTCATCTGATGGCTTTGGGTCTTCTCTCAAGTGGGCCTCCACTCTTTGGCTAGGGGATCACAATTAGTCCTATGTAGTATGAGACACTGGGTAGTTTACATAGAACATGATGTAAGCTACACAGCCACAAAACTTGCTGTGGTTTTGTACAAATTATATATCTAGTAGATGGCAATTGGGTACTTATTGCATATGGAATGAATGAAGTGGCTGAATAAATGATTTCCATATGGCCATGGAGCTAGTAGCACTGGTGTTTTCACTTGTATGATTTTTATTACTACCCATCATTTTAACATGTCCTAAAAGATAAGTCTGGAAGGAGGCAGAGTTTGTATTGTGTGGAAGGGATGATGAAAAGAATAGGGTGAATATATTTAAATTATTAATATTTTTGTGGAGAATGAATGTGTATATCTCTGTGTGTGTGTGTGTGTGTGTGTGTGTGTGTGTGTGTCTTTTGCTGGAACTGGGCCTCTTGCTCTTGCAATCAATGGTGTTCTACTACTAGTACCACTAGCTCTTTGCACTTAATTGGAAGTAAGAGTCTTACTGGAAAAGAAGGGGTGACATTCATCAAGATGAATTGCACTCATAACCTGACTTTTAGAGTTGAAACCCCTTTGTACAACTACTTAATAATAACTAAATAAATACTTTTACAAGTCAGTTCAGTGACAGGTCATTAAATCGTCCACAGGCAGAAAGAAAATGTAGAAGAGATGGCCAATGGGTAGGAGTTAGTAGGGATATCAACAGGTTGAAGATCCTGAAAAATGTTGAAGAATTGATATCCTGAAGACATAGGCTGGAAAGATGAGACAAAGATCAAAGGGATGGAATATTACTGTGAGATATTAGATTCTGTGTGTGTGCGTGGGTGCGCCTGTGCTGGTGCATGAAATCAGATCTGGGTGCTATCCTTGAGCTATTTTGCTGAAGGCTAGTCCTCTACTTCCTGTTCCCTTACAGCCTTTTTATTTGGGTGGCTACTTGGAGATATAAGAGTCTTATGGACTTTCCTGTCTGGGCTGGCTTTGAACCATGATCCTCAGATCTCAGCCACATAAGTAGCAAGTATGACAGTCATGAGCCACCCACACCAGGCTCTAGACCTTTTCTTTTTCATTTTAGAAGACAGAGCTCTTCTAGATTATAAGATCTAGAAGTAGCTATAGTTGAGTTCAAGTATAGCTAAAGATCTAAGCTTAAAAGGTCTACTAATTGAGATTCAACCTTATTGAACCAAACAATGTCATAGGTATTGGGATTTCTGAGAAATTTTATTTCTCTTCAAGATCTTTACACTGGTACTCATCCCTCCCCCTCCCTCTTTCCCAAGATCTCCACAGAATGTGCATTTCGCACTTAAATATGGGCTTAAAAGCCTGAGAGAGCCATGGAATGGCTCTGCACTCAGAAGACAAGCAGTAAAGAAAGGATGCAGTGATCTAGGCTTGGCTTTTATTTTGACACCCAGCATTCATTTTCCATTTTGAAAACAGTATCTCTAATGTCCTCTGAGAATAAGGACACTGAGGGCTGGGAAGGTGGCTCAGTGGTAGAGTGCTTGCCTTGCCTACATGAGGCCCTGGGTTCAATTCCTCAGCACCACATAAGCAGGAAAAGCTGGAAGTGGCGCTGTGGCTCAAGTGGTAGAGCGCTAGCCTTGAGCTGAAGGGCTGAGGGACAGCGCCCAGGCCCAGAGTTCAGGCTCATGACTAAAAAAAGAAAAGAATAAGGATACTGAGAATAACTCCCATTCTTCACTCTCAGTTAATGTATAAATATTATATAGTCTTTCTCACTCTACTACACGCCAGACACAGGCCTGTGTTTCAAAGCTGGGAAAAGGAGACTTCTATTCCTCCAGCCTCAGTGACCCATGAACAGATGGACTCATGTGATTAAACTGGAGCTAGCCAGACTCTATGAAACTTTTGCATGAACTCTGGTACATGAAGCTCCATATTTTCAGATGCATTTCAAGCTGAGAAGATAATATACTGACGTTGCCAGTAGCCATCATATGAAGCTTCAGAATGAAGCTGGCACAGGAGATAAAACTGACAGGAAACAGGAAGATACCACATGTTGTCTGGCATGGAGCCCTAGAAGAATGCCATTTTCCAAAGCCAGATCACATCTCAACTTCTCAGTGACACGAGTCTTCAGTAGCCTTTTGTGTTTAGTTGGATTGTACTTTATATTGCTCACGTGGAGATCTTTCCTTACAATACCAAGAGCTCCCTATTTCTGGTTCCTGGTTTGAGCTAGCCCACCAAAAATCAGTTAATTTCCCTGTATCTTAGCTTCTCTAACTGTCATAGGGAAAGAACAACGCATAGAGGTGTAAGACTAAATAGCAATACATTTTAATTGTGGGTTTTTTCTCTCATAAGACTGGAGTACAGGAAATATCACATCAGTGTTTCTAAATTAGAATTCTCTCTGTGCCTCTGTTGGTGAGAGTGGGAAGACAGCCTGTATCAGGAGTTACTGGAGAATTTCTTTCCCTTTTTAGCATATTATGTATACATGATAAGAAGGAAAGAGTCAGCTGGGCACTGGTGACTCACACTTGTAATCTAGCTACTCAGGAGGCTGAGATTACAGTTCAAAGCCAGATAGAAAAGGTCAAGAGACAGTATCTCCAACTAATAAGTAGAATGCCAGACTGGTAGTGTGGCTCATGTGGTAGAGCACCATATGTGAGTGGAAAAGCCAAGCGAGAGTGTGAAACACTGAGTTGAAGCCCCAGGGACAACACAGATACAAAAAGGAGTCTCTTGTGTTCCATTTATTATACTTCTCCAGAGTTTTCAGCAACCTTGTCTGTTGCTATAAGGGGGGGGGGGGGAGAAAGGGAGGGAGGGAGGGAAGGAAGGAAGGAAGGAAGGAAGG